TGCTAACAGTAGTTGGGTCATCAGGTCAAGTCAAAGACTGGCGAGAACTTATTTTTCCTTTCAGTACTGAAATACTTTTGAATTTTATTGCCTGACCAAGATTCCAGGATTTACTTGATAAAGTTAGTGAGTTAAAGGATTAATGACAGGACTGTCTGGTGTCCCTGGACAGCAGTCTGCTCAAAACCATTCAATAGATTTAGGTGTTTTGGAAAGGAAGCTCAGTGCTCTTGATTTCTTTCACAATTGGTTAGATAAAAGCATTAAAACATAAAAACAGTTTATCAAACTGACCCTTATGCAAAAACTGGCAATTTCATGACTGCAGGCATTAGCATGCTGCAAAAGCAATGTTTAAAGAACAGATATGTTTGATATAGTTTGGTGTCCTTCAGACAGCATTTAATGCCTAGTTGATTATTCTTTATCACACTTTATTGCACAGTATTACACCATATCACCATTATCACATTTGTACCACTTGTATACTGTTTGTAATTGTTATATCAGAGGTAAACAAATTTGCTGCAGGATTATTCTGTGTACTCTATGTGTGCAATACATCTAGCACTTCTAAAATATTTTATTTAGATAATTAGAAATGTCATAGATGATGGGAGCTAGAATCCAGAAGTTCATTCCAGGAGGAAAAATGAGAGATTTGCTCTTCCAAGAAAAGATACTAGGTATTGTTTAAAAATCATAATGTTAGTATAATGTGAGACAAAATGTCTAGCAATTCTGCTGTACTTTGATGACTTTCTTTAATCTGTCGTTATTTTATCCACTGGATAAAATGTGTTTGAATGAGGGAAGCAAAAAACAAATGTTCATAAGCTCTTTGTATGTTTGAGCTGTGTTAATTCTGAAAGTATTCTGTCAGGTTTTGTACTTGAGCAGCCATAGTTTTAACAGTGTGCAGCTGTAGAGTTGGGATGTCTGAGAGTATAGTCTCTACAAGTAGGGATTCTTCCTCTGTTCAGACAGCTGGCGTGCTGCATCTGGATCAATACATTTTACTGCTTGCTTCCTTTCACAATAAGTAACGTTTTAAAATGGCAGTGCCTACAAAATTTAACCTTTGGGAGATGAAAGCAAGAAATTGTCATGGTAAGGTGTGGGAAACAGCTTGTCAGGAACGCTGGAAGCTGCAGTGAAAGGCTGCAGAAAATGTGTGAAAGTCACCCTTGTGCAGAAGACTTCCTGCAAACATCTCTGACCTCAGATCTTCTGCTCCTGAGGCTTTGACTGCAGCTGGCAGGGGAGAGACCTGTTGCTGCACAGAACTGTTCTGTCAGTACCTCTGGGGGAAAATGGTTCTCAAGTGGCTTCTCTTATTTTTTTGTTCTCAGCAAGCGTGTTAAATGGTAAGAGTACTGTGCTCAGTGTCAGAATACCTAGGTGCATAGCAGTTTTTAATGTAAGCAGCTTGATTAAATGTGCTGGAATGCCATTTTTATATTTCCTTGCAGGAACTGGAACTTGAAAATATAAGGCTCTTGACTTTCTTTAGCATTATGATACCATAAACATTTGGAACCAGCCCCAGTACTGTATCCTACTAAGAGAGAAAAAGCCATTGTTTTGAAGCCTTTCTAAGGAATTCATGTGAGGAGAACTCTGTACTATATGGCATGTGGTAACCCTGTAACTGGTCACACTTGAGAGATGGAAAAAGCAGTTAAATGCTCTAGTCTCATCTGCTTCTTTGGCATCCTCTTTCCACACAGGACTAATTGTAATGGGATGTGTTAGCTAGAGAAGTTAATGGCTACTAGGTACATACCAAGTCAGGCAGTCCACAAAGACCGTGGTCTACCTGAAGTAACACCCAATAGTCTTACACACACACTTGCTTGTTGTCCAGTCCTTTACTTAGGGCTTCCAAGTTTGTGATTTTTGAAAAGAAAATGAGCAGAAGACTTCATGTCTGTTTATTCTGGTACTACCTCATACAGTTCAACATAGCCAAAGTACATTGCCGATAAGTTGGGATTTAAATAGGTTCATTACAAACATGCTTCATGACATACACGACCGTCAAGACCTCTTAAGTAAAACTAAATAGCAATTTTTACTGATTAGAAACTTTCCTATGAACTGCTGTAGTTCAGGCTGTGTGTGAAAAATCTCCGATCACTTCTGGTTGCCAATTACTTTGTCATTACTAATCTATGAGGCTATTCACAATTGGCACAAATAACTTACTGTTATGATCCAGTCCTGGAGATGAAATAGTAGATTATTTGTATTTTTCAGATACTGTGAAACAGCAATGCGAAGCTCTGTGTAGGGGCAGAAATTTACTATTTCTTTTCTGAAGTCCTCTCAGTGTACGATAGAATTGTCAACGCGTAAATGAATCTTACTTTTCCTTTAACAGTGCAAATGAACACCATAATCAGTCAAAAAATACTCAGTTATTTTGATTTAAAAGTTGTGTTTATAAGAGCATTTCTGATCTGAAATGCTAAAACCTCTTTCCCCCTTTTGTTACACCCCCTCCAAATCCACAGTGTGTTAGTGTTTTTCACTGTTTATGAAGATCTTATCGTACATGTATTGCTGTTCTGAAATAGTTCTGGTGCAGTTTTTTCCATTCAGTGTGTGACTTGAGTAGAAGCATTGTATCCTCATGAGCACAAGCATGAAAAATACTACGCTGCTTGATTTACAGCTGAAACCACAGTGGTGCTTTCTTCATCTTGCATTAGAGGGCTGAACTTGGAGCCTTATGTAGTGGAATTCTTTTGTTCCCACACTCTGTAATATCTATTCTCAGTGGTGCTTTATTGGGCACCCACTAGCACTGATAACCGGGAGTAACCTCTCAGTTATTACATTTTGCTTGTGCTTCAAAATATTTTCCTAAGAAATATTGAATAGTGTGGAGAGACGAGACATACAGAACAAAACTTCCTTGTGTTCACAGTGTGCATATCCTGGGGCTGATCTGGTAACTGATAACTCAAAATACCAGTTGTGAGCCATTCTCTCTGTCCCAGAGTGCAACAGGCTGAACTATGGGGCTTTTTCGAGCACTGCAGTAAAACATGAAGCTCTGACGTGATGGTTGAGGTTGGAAGTGACCTCTGGAGGTCACCTTGTCGATATGTGCAAATTCTACCACCACCTGGCAAGCCACATTCACATGCTCAAGTATATGATTCTTTCTTACATTAGATACTAAGGTATTCTCCACCTTCTTGTAGAACCTGAACGTGCAGTAAACAAACTTGAAGCTTGTTTAAAGAAAACCAACCAACCACAACAAAAAACAAAACAAAACAAACAAAAAAAACCCCAACACAAACAAACAAAAAACAACACCCCCCCCCCCCAAAAAAAAACCCAAAAACCAAAAACCAAAACACATTAATCACTGTAGTGCTAAAACAGTGTTTTCGGACATGAAGATGCAAATGCCTTCTACCCTTCCTTGATCTTCTTTTTCATCTGTTTAATATATGTAATATAGTATACATACACACACACACATGCATTTAAGAACGTATGAACCACATATATGTCTATTTCTTTAAAATCCTTTCTAGAGTCTATAAAATGTACTCTTTAAGAAAACTTACTGTTAAAGGTAATGATCTGGAAACTGATCATGATTCTGCCTAGTAGTGGAAAGCTTATGCCTTACAGGATCTCCAGGTGTGTTGTAGGTACCCATGGCTTTATGAGAATTTTGTAATTCAGAATGGATGAGAGAAGCACTGACATGAATCTGTCAGTGGATAAGGTTGACATAATCTGATTTTTTTTTTTTTTTTAAATCCATTTTGTGTGTTACTGCTGGTTATAAGGGGATATAGGTGGCACCCTTCATAATTGACAGGTTAGAAATATTTTCTCTTGATTCTGTGCTAAGAGTATATTTGGTATTAATGTATCAGGAGTAGGAATAACTTACAATATATTTCACCCTAATTCTTGGTGTTTCTCTTCAGCACGGCACATACTTCTTGAAAGCATTGTCTGTGTCCTCTGTATTTTGTGTTTTATTTAGCAAATGTGGGTTCTTCCCTTTACCTCATTAGGATTGAACCTCTAATGTTTTCTAAGCCCTCTGAATTGCAGGCTGCTTCATAATACACTGCTTGAGCTGGTTTGTTGAATGGTATTCAGAGGCTTTCTAGTGTATCCATTCTTAATACTTGTTGCCTTGGGTAACATACTTTGCTTAGATGGCTTCTTGCAAATTTCTTACAGCAAAAGTAGGAAGTATTTGAGTTTGAATGCTCAGGTGTTCGCTTGGCTTGGCAAAACAAAACTGCCTCTTAAGCAAGTGTATATAGACATATTTTTTAATATATATCACATAGTTAGGATTTCTACATTGTGAGGTTGGGAGTTGAATTGTAAAGAAAAGCTCTGAGTTTGTTTTTTGTCTGTGGGACTGATGTTTTCTGCATCTATTATCCTTCTCATTTAAACAGGGAAAAGCTGGAAGAGACTTCTCTTCCCTCCTTTTCCCTGAAAAGCCAATCTCCCACCCTTCTTCACAGCAGAGTCACCTTACAATGAGTAGTAGAATAGTTTACAGAGAAGTGAATAATTTATTTCCTGAAAAATTGATCAAGTGACAGGTAAGTCTGAACTACAGGTAGCGGTACAGCTGACACCAGCAACTTGTGGTAGAAGAGTAAATGCTTCCAGATTAAGCAGTGAAACTTCCTGTGCTGTAGAAGTCACTGCATTTGAAATCTTCTAGCCATTTTTTTAAGAGACTAGGTGTTTGCTTTTTTAGGGGATGTAGAACTGGTTCTTGAAATAATGACTTCTAATAGTTTGCTCTTGTTTGTTACATTCTTTGAAATCTGAAATGTGAGTTCTGCAAAGAACATAATGCAACAGCTCAAAACTTCAGACGCATCATTCTATAATTTTTCTGTTTATACAAGTAGATGGGAGGGTTTTTTACAGCATAAGTATCACATGCACACTCTGCTCTTTCAATCACATAATATATAAACTTTTTGTTTTCCAAGGAGCCCTTTGAAGATGGCTACGCAAATGGTGAGGAAGGCACCCCAGCCGGGGAAGCAGCTGTCACTTACACACCTGATAGCAAAGGGGTGGTCAAATTTGGATGGATAAAAGGTGTATTGGTAAGTTTGACGTATTGTACTTAGGTTTCTTACAATCTTTCTAATAAGCATCTTTTTTGAGAGATGTTGTGATAGTGCAGTATAAACAAAAGATTATATGCATGAGAGATGTGAAAAATACCGTAATTTTAGGAAGGGTTGCTCCAACCTTACTGAATTTTAAGGAAGTAATTGCTTCAGGACTTCAGGTTGTTAGGGGATTATGGTGTCTTAGCATGTTTTAGAGTTTTTAAGTTGCGTAATTTCCAAGAAGAAAAAAGACCATGTTAAGTGTTCATATGTAGGAAAAAAAAAGTATGCATGAATTTTAAGTGACAAATGTTAACTGAGAGAATACACTTAGTGTGTGTCCACCTTGAATTGGGACTGCATGAAACAAAAAAAATGTTTTGAGAAGAATACCTATCTGTATATAACAAAACTTGTCCATGGTAAAATATTTAAATTTTGTTGAGCATGTTACAAAAAGTCGTCTTCTAAGCTGTGGAAGTCTTGACACTAAATACAATGTAGTAATAGTGACAAAAACTGATTTGGAGTAGTGAGAAATCACAGATTGCATGGGCGTTTTTTATTACAAGTACATATTAGTATGTTTTTAGTATTTAGGCAAAGAGAAACCATGGTTAATATGTACTCTCCAAAGCTCTAAGAATTTATAGTGCTGGCTGCAAACAAAACAGTTGGTTAAAACATGCTGAACTGGAGCATTCAGAATACCTAACTTTAGTTCAACAAATTTCCTCTAGGTATTGGCAACTTCTTAGAAGTACTGAAGTAGCCACATTCCCTGCCTTGGGAGAAGGAGAGTGTCTGTGATACTGTGAAACCCAAATTCTGTATAGGACTATTCCTCTAAGCAGTGTTCTGATATTAAAGAGTTACAGGGTAAATATTGCTGACTGTTTTCTTCCAAAGCAAATTTAAAATTTTCTAGATGGATGATCTCATTTTTAATGGTTTGAAAGTTATAGTTAGTATTTCCTAATAAGCATAAGCTGCCTGGATGAATATGTTCAGCTCAGGTGATCTGCATTTTGCAAAAGACTTGAAAACTTTGGTGATTTGGAGAGCTCCTTGTCTCCCTTCTCTTTGCAGGATTGATATCCTCTATTCTTTAGGTAAGAGAGAGACCCAAGATTTGTTTTCATTTTCCTGTCTAAATTCTACACAGTGCAAACTCTATTTTTATTGGGAACTAGGAGTTTTAAATGCAGGGATTAAAAAAAAAGACAACCATCCATCCTGTTGCTGTGCAGCTGTGTTGTAAGACACAGAAGTTTTAGGAGTGAGAAGTTGTAGTGGTTGTTTTTTACTTTAAAAATAATAAATTATTAAGTAGGATATCGCTTTAGTGCATTTCTTTTTGAGAAGGATCTATGGGAGATCTGAACTGAGACTGTAGACTTCACAGTCATAGTAGACCTCTGTCTTATTTTTAGTTACGTGTTTTGTAGTATGCATTTTGGATCCTGAAGGTTGGTATCTAAATTATTTTTATTGTTTGGTCAAGACATACTGCAAGTGTCAGATACTGAAGTAATCTTAACTTTATCTGTCTTCAAGGTAGTAACTTCTAAATTTTATTTAGGTCCTTTTTTTTTTTTTTTTTTATCAAACGTTAACTTGTCTAATAACAGAGTCTGTTCTTGTGAAATAATTTAAAAAGTGGTGAGGAAAGACAGCAAGATAATTTCAAGAATGTTAAAAACTGAAATGAAGAGCTAGTGAAAATGACTGCAGATGTAAGACCTAACCATTGTAAAATTTCTGTTTTATATTAGGTACGATGCATGTTAAATATTTGGGGGGTGATGCTCTTCATCAGACTATCATGGATTGTAGGACAAGCTGGGATAGGTATGTGTACTAATGCTGTTATTTTATTTCACTTATTTTTAAATGTGACCCAAAAGAGGTGTTGATCCTGAGCTTACACTTCAAACAAGAGTAGAAAATGACCTTGATGTTGCCCATTTTTATGGTAATTTACCTTAATCAAAACTTGAAGCACTTACTTAGACTTTTTCATTTAGATATAAAGCATGGAATTTAAAATGGGCATTTTTAAGTCTTCAGTGAACTGTAGAGATAAATTTCTGATCTCTGATTATTGAAATTTGAGTATAGACCTTGTAGCATATAACCAGTATTTTTCAAAACTTGCCTTAGTATTGGACTGCACAAAATCTCTGCTCTGCAACAGGATTGTGTTCTTGAATCTCGAGGATGCAGCTCTTACCTTGCTGATTTAAGAGAACATTTACCCAGTTTTATTTTTATCCTGGAAATTTCTCTGTACCAAAGGGGAGAAGAGAAGACTTTTGCTTGAATGTATGGAATCATGCACATTAAATTTGTGGGTTTTTTGCAAGACTGTGTATTTAAATGGAGTTAAGTTGAAGGTCTGTATTCTTTAATACCACTGGGCTTACAACTGTTTCCTCCCCCTTTTTCCAAAAGGTCTGTCTGTCTTGGTGATTGCAATGGCCACTGTCGTGACAACTATCACAGGACTCTCTACTTCAGCAATAGCCACAAATGGGTTTGTAAGAGGAGGTAACCCAACTTTCATACAGTTTTTAAAGCTTTCCTTACCCTGAAGTGCACACCTTAATGTTGCTGAGGAGCAGTCTTCTTTATGTTCTGTATTTGTGTAAATAGTCATATAAATAGTGTTTATTTATTGACCAAGAAGTCATGTAAATAAACAGTCATGCTAATAAAAAGTTAATAGTTAGCCAGCTAATTTGATCTAACTAGTGGCTTCTTCTCCACTGTGAAAGAAACATTATTCTTAACTTCTGGAATACAAACATTTTTAGGGATACATATCGAGGAATAATAGGGTCTTAATATTCTCCTGCATCTGCACTGTGCACATATGCTTGTATGTGTTCATGTCCTGAAATAAACCTTCATACAAATAACTCTTCAAACTCTTGATTACCTCCAGCTTCCCTGAGGCTGATTGTTTTCATTCTCTTTCATGGTTTATGTGCTGTTGTCAGAAATTCCTATAAATATTTTGTAAGTGGTTGATCTGACATGGTCAAACTACTTCATGACATACAAGACTGCTACTAGTAGAAAAATGTGATGAAATTAAAATAGAAATTTATAAAATTGTCTTCATTAAGGTTAAGAATGAAGAGAAAAGCCTCAGTATCACAAAGTAAGCAGGCATAATGGGAAAGGGCAGCTGTGAGTGTTAGCATTATGTCAGGCTTAGTTTCTAAATGTTTCTACTTTTTTAATTGTATTATGCATATCAGATTTTCCCATTCCTATGGGAGCGTTTTTTTAGTCACTCTTGAAATACAGTACTTTATTGGAAAATCTGAAGTGCTGAATGGGAAGAACTGTAGAATAAAATCACAATTTTTTCTGTAAAAATCTTATATTGCAGTAAGTTTTGTGTTTTTTAATGTTTCATAAGGCGTACAGAGTATGACCAGACTGGCTACATACATATGATTTGCACAAGTGTGATGCAGTGAAATAATGATTTCCTCATTCAGTTACTTCAAACTGGAGCTGTAGGACTTTGTTGCTTCTGGAAAACTTAGTCCTAAATTTGAGGAATATGCCTTTGCTACGTTTTCTACTGCGGAAAAATCCTTTAACACAACAGAGCTTTAAGAAACAGGTCTTGGAGGTTAGGGACCTTAGTGGGTTTATTACAGTTGGCTTTGTCAGTTTCTTTATCTAAAACTAAAGAAAATGTTTAATAGCAGAACTGTACACAAGTGCTTTGAGCAGTTTGAAACAAAAAGCCCAGTAATACTGCTGCTTGTGTTACAGTTTGTTTTTTTAACCAGAGAACTCGTTACATAGCTGAATAATATGATGTGGTGCATGAATTGTTCAGATATATTCCTGACACTTCAGTGTGTCTGTCCCTAAAATACTGACTTTAGGGTTATTTTCTAATACATCAGGAAAGGTACAAGAAAAGTAGATTCTGGCTCATGTAAAAATTAAATTGCTGATGACTGAATGTTCTTTAGTTCTGTCATGTAGTGGGGTTTTTTTGTCTTTTGTTTTTCTTTTTTTTTTCAGGGGGAGCATATTACTTAATTTCACGAAGTCTGGGACCAGAGTTTGGTGGTGCCATAGGTCTGATTTTTGCATTTGCCAATGCTGTAGCAGTAGCAATGTATGTTGTTGGCTTTGCAGAGACAGTTGTGGAGCTACTCAAGGTACATGGATGATAGTGGTTGTATTGATTACGCTTTATGCAAGTTTGAGCTGTGATCTAATCCCAGAATGGTTGGGTTTGGAGGGACCTTAAAGTTCATCCAGTTACACTCCCTGTCATGGATAGGGACACCTTCCACTAAACCAGATTTCTCCAAGCCCCATCCACCCTGGCTTTTGACACTTTCAGGGATGAGACATCTACAACCCCTAGACAACCTGTCCTGATGTTTGACCACTCGTGCTGTGAAGTGTTTCTTCCTTGTATCTAGTCTAAATCTGCCCTCTTTTAGTTCAAAACCATTCCTCCTTGTCCTATCACTTACTACAAGCCCTGTCCAAAAGTCTGTCCCCATCTTTCTTAGAAGCTCCCTTTAAATACTGATGTCTCTTGAGCTTTCTTTTCCCCAGTCTGAAGGACCCCAACAGTCCCAGTAATTTCTATTTAGAAAATGCATTTATGTAAACACAAGGCAAAAAACCAATTACTTGTATCCTTAAAGGAAATTTAAAAGTAGTGAATTTGTGGTGTGGAGGTTACTAATAAATTACAGTAAATAAAATGCTCTTCTGTAATATGTTCAGATAATTACCTGGTGAAGTATGTGACTGTGTATTTTTTTGTTTGTTTGTTTCATTAGGAAAATGGAACGTTGATGATCGATGAAATGAATGATATCAGAATCATAGGGGCTATTACAGTGGTTATACTGCTGGGTATTTCCATTGCAGGAATGGAATGGGAAGCTAAAGTAAGGAACCTCGTCTTTTCTTTTATTCTCTACTTCATAATACTGATTCCATTTTTGTACCTCAGCTATGTGACTTATATTTAATATATTGAGTGTATTCAGTACATACTTGGTGGTATGTCAGAAGTCAGCCAGTTGCTTTTAATGTAATAGCTCCTGGTCTGGCACTGGCATGTGCAGGTCTGGGCAGTCTTTCACATCTTAGACCGCTTCCCTTCACTGAAAGCTTAAGCATCTGTGAGAACCTAAAATCCAGCATGATCTACTCTTGATGACACTGCCAAGTAGGTTAATGGTATTTCCCTCTTCTGGGCAAACACAGCATAAGAAGAGAAGGTAAGAACTTAAGCATGGGTATTTTCCCTTACTGCAGCCTTCAGGTGAGTTCTGTGGATGAAAAGTACAGGAAACCAGTCTAAAGCTATGTACTTTCTTCTGTCTTAAAACCAGTGTTCTTCCCTTCTCTTCCATTCTCTCCTGGTTTGGTTTTTACTTGGAAACAGCCAGACAGTGAGATGCATTCAGTAGACCCAGCAATGAGAGGGGTTTTGAATGTTTCTGATGATAAATGTGTAGGAGGGTAAACGTACTTCCCTGATCTTGCTGTGGGCTGCAGTGTTTAAGTTCAATTCTATGTTGGTCAGCTATTTGTGGAAACAAACACTTAAAGAGATATTAGAGTACTTTGATATGGAGGTTGCCTTATTTTTCTCTTCTTGGCATTATTAGGCAGTGTAGCTTGCTCTGTTTCCTGCACCAGATAGGCTTTTTCTGAGTATTTATCCATAATGTGCTTAAAAATAATTGAGAAGAAAGAGCCTCTCACAGGGTCTCCTTTCCCAGCTGATATTTGTGTCACTATAATTCCTGTTTTCTGCACTGAAGGAATTTCTTTGTGATGTGTTAGAAGTTTGTTATGCTCCTGCATCAGGAGGATGATGATAATCATAACCAAATGAGAGAAAGTTTTTTCTCATGCTTGCTTCCAGCTCTAGAAATAGGGGTCATAGAAGAAATGAGTGAGGATGTACTACAGGGAGAAAAGAAACTTGCAGAAGTTGACTTTGGCATGTACTTTTAAGCTGAACTTATGTAAAAACTGTTTACATTTCTCAAATGGTTCTTCCCTGTCTGTAACCTTGAATTTGTAATGGTGTCTTTATACGTCCAGCTTTGAACAATACTGACCTCCTTATTCTGAACTGTTTAGTTTTTCCTTTGAATGAATTAATTGTTATGAACTCCCTGGCCACAGCCACTTCAAGTCATAGGAAATATCTTGCTTTTGCTTTGTATCATGAGCTATTGTATAACAGCTGCTTACATGGAAATACCCCTCTTCACTGTTTCTGTATCAAACCTGAATTGTGGTATCACTGTAGTGCCATCCTTATTAGGGAATGGGTAGCTTTCCAAAATCCAGTGCTCAATGCAGAAGTCAAAGCTTGTCTTGGTTTCCGCCTCATGGAAGAGGGCAGGTGTGAGCAGTGATAAGCAACTGAACCTGTCAAGTGACCATTTCATGTGGGCTAACATACAACTCATCATAGCAAAATACTGATGTTTTCCTCTTGATTGTGGTACCTGTGATGTTCTCCTGTGCTTTACCCACATCTTAGAATGTGGGTAAAGTATTAGTATTAGTATTTCCATGTATTAGTATTTCCATGTATTAGTATTTCCATGTATTAGTATTTCCATGTAAGCCTTGGAAAGTGCAACAGGGGGAATCTGTAATAATGCCTTTGAAATAGATATAAAAGCTAAGAGAGAGTGGGATTCCAAGGAAGTCTGCTTTGAAAAATAGCTTTTCGGAGTTTGTGATCTTTTACTGCTCAGCTCCTTCTGTTAAAGGAGTGTGTTGTGTTAGAAGGCCATTCTTTCAGTTTTTTGAATTTAAGGTAAATACTCAACAAACACTCCTAGCTTAAGGGAGAAGCCTAGGTTTGTGACTGGAAAAATCCAGTAACTTGTGACAGCTGCACAAGTGATAACTTATGTTGAATTCTCTGGTCTTATCGAAGACTTCTGTAGGCACCCAGCTGGATCCTTACACCTCTTCCCTGTTCACGAGGCTTTACAAAGATTTAGATATGAAGCACAAACTGGTTCCTTCAGGTGGACTTCTAAATCCAGGACGTTATGCTCTGTTTATCACTATTCTGCCTTGTTTTCTTGGGAGGCTGCGTGAACTGAAAAACTTCGACTTGTAGCAATGAGCAATGCCACAGTGCTATTGTACATTATTTTCTGATACTAGGCGTGAAAAAAGTCTATTAATAGCTTTCCCTAAGCCACTGACACGTGCCTTTCTAAGGAATCAAGTAACTCAGAAGATAATAGAGCAGTGTGGTTGCTTATTTAAATGTAAAACCTGAAGTATCTCTTCAATGCCCGTATTTATTCACACTTCTGAGGTGCTGTATGGTTTTAAGTACTTTTTTTCCCATTTGTAGGGTTCTGTTGAAGAGTGACTAAATATTAGGTTGTGATCAAAGAAGTCTCAAGAAAACTTGAAAGTAACAACTAATCGTTGTAGTCTGCGATTCCATAAATAAGTGTTTACAACATGAGAATGTAGCAAAATAACCCAGTTCATCGCATAAAGTAGGAAACCACAGCTGTTTGATTCCAGATGTTATAAAATTTTTAGTAAATATCACTGAAGTATAAATAGACTGAAGTATAAGTATTATGATCACAGTTTATAGGGCAATAGTAGCATTTATGTTGCATTTGGCTATTTTCTTGTGAACTTCTTAAACCTACTCAAATGGATTTGTTCTGGAAAGCCTGTGTATAGAGAAAAGAGTTCATTTGAGCATTCTATCTTCTGAAGTATGACTTTGAGGAATTTGGTAATAATGAACTTTTAATTAGATATTAAACTTGGAAATTATTCCTATTTGTTCATTAAAAATCTTTGTGCTGGCTATCTCCAGCTTTCCTTATTTATTTGTGGAAAACATGCTGATAAGACTAAGCTGACTTTGGAATCAAGCAAACATTTATGTTTTAGAGCACAACACTTGATACTGTGAAGAGAACAAGTTCTTCTGTCTGACTGCAGTCATTATGTTTCAGGCACAGATAGTCCTGCTGGTGATCCTCATACTTGCTATCGGAGACTTCGTCATAGGAACATTTATTCCTTTGGATAGCAAGAAACCTAAAGGATTCTTTGGTTATAAAGGTATGCTGGAACAGTTTACAGTATTGCACACAATACCTTTTTTGCAAAAAGGAAATAAGCTGTTAAAATTAAGTTAAACATGTAATATAGGTTATGGTCATATTTAACTGTAGAGATTTTTTTGTTTCCTGATTCTCCCAAAGTGTTGCAATTTTGTCCTTAAAAGCTATTGGGCCAAAACTTGGTCCTGACTGCTTAATATTGAATATATTAAATTTTAAAAAAGTGTATGATATTGTAAGTACTTTTTCTGATTGTAAAAGCTATTTAAGTTTACTGTGTTAATTTTACTTTGAGTTGAAGTGATAAGTAAGGGCTCAACTGTTGTACATTTAATTTTAAGAAGGTCACAGAGCTGTGACTTAAATCTTTTTCATGGGTCTAATAATGGCTGGAATGGTTTAATACTGTAACTGCTATATAAATAGTGATAGATTTAAATTTTTCCCTACAGCTGAAATATTTATGGAGAATTTTGGACCAGATTTCCGAGATGATGAAACTTTCTTTTCTGTATTTGCTATTTTCTTCCCTGCTGCAACTGGCATACTTGCTGGTGCAAATATCTCAGGGGACCTTGCGGTGAGTAGTGGATTAGCAAACACTGTTCATGACCACTGGAGTGTGCATTTATCTCTGTCATCACTGTCCACTGACATTTTTCTTTCAGGATCCTCAGTCAGCCATACCTAAAGGAACGCTGTTGGCCATCTTAATCACTACATTGGTTTACGTAGGAATTGCAGTATCTGTAGGTAAATAGAGAATGTTTTTAACTTTTATCCTTACACGTTCATTCTGAGGATGTATTTTGATGTGGTTGTATGTAATTTGTTATGTAAAGCCATTATGTAATTGACTTCCCTGCAAAGGAAGGTAATAGCCTAGGATTTCTTATTTTAACTGTTGGAAATTCAGTTTTCAGCTGGTTTTATAACTTCCTGAAATGTTTTCCTAAGACTGGTGACTGCTTCAGACTAAAGATGACAAGACTCCATATGGATGTTTCCTCATTTGTTGTAGTTATTTATGTTAAAGAATTTACCGTTTTGCAGTGGGATAATCACTGGGTTAAAAAAGTGTGTTTCCAGGATATACTCACTGAACTAACACCTGTATTGGTTTGAGGATGGTGGTAATCAGCCACTTCCTTGGAGTGAACTGTGAGATAATCAGACAGCACTTTGGTGAGGATGCTTGAGCAGTAGTTCCCCAGCTAAGGGAGGAGACTGAGTAATACCTGAATCATCCACTGTCAGAAATGTCACGTTCAGAAATGTGTTCTGTAGTTTCATTTTCATGTAGAAAGAGGAGGAACAATCATAGACTAATCTGAATCCTGTACAGCTTCTCTTCTCAATGTTCCTTTCCCCACAGTGGGTTGAAACTCTGTAGAAGTTGCGTTGGAGTTAACCAGGTTTTTCCCACCCATAAAAGTAATTCTAGTAACCCTGAGATTCTAAGATTGTAATTGTATCTTGCATATTTCTCATCTGCGATTGGAAATGTTTTCATTCATATCATATAAACTACTTTCTGGCTGCAATTACCAGCTTTCCTATATGAAAGACCTTGTTCTGTCATAGCTGTGCTGCCTTTTAAATGAAATTCTCATTTATAGGAGTACCACTGATCTTACCACTAATGAGATTTTATTTTTTAAGATACCAATTGTGCTAGTCTGCCTCTGTTGGCTAACACTGGAGTGTAGCTCTGCCAAGTAGTCTGTAGTGACTGTACTTCATGCAGCAATAATGACCTACACTTATTGCCTAATTAGATTGATGGCATAAACCTTTTCTACCAAATTTGAATACTTTGGAACTTCAACCCACATGAGAATAAAATGCTTGTTAATACTCACTTGTTAATTAAATACTTTGATCATCTTCCAAGCATAAAAAATGCAATGGAAAATAGTGACAAAAAAAAGCAGTTTTCAAAACCAACTGGATGTGGAATTGTTGGATCCTAGTTAGAAAAGGCCATCAGAAGTCAGAGATTATAAGTGAAGTTTAGGTTTTTTTCAAGGCATTGTAGTAGGCATATTGGACAAATACAAATACTTTGATCCCATTTCCAGAGTAGTGGTAATCAAGTCATTAAAACATTGAAGAGGCTGAGGTTGCTGAGCAGCCATATATGAAGAAGATGATAATCTGAACTTAGCTCAGTATTTTTATGCTCTGTAGCTAGTAAAAGGTTTAAACGGAATAGAAAAGGCTTAAAAAAGGAAAATTGCTAGTCCTGCTGATAGAGCTAGGCAGCTGTTTCAAAAAGATAATAGCTGTAAAGAGAAAGAAGCAGTTTCGTATTTTAGCAAAGAACTAATGCAAATAGACAGGTGGCAGGAAGCAGATTTCATAGGCAAATTTGACATCAAAAGTCTTGAAAGATCAATTTCAAAGAACAACATTAATTACTTTAAAAGTGAGGGAAGCTCTAATAGAAGATTAGTCAAAGTTCTGAGTAGGTTTAAGACGTGCTTCCTGTACTTTGGAAAGTAAAACTAAATAATAAGAACCTAACTGTAGGTGCTTGTAGCACTGGTGAAGTTAAAAATTCTGAAGTAGAATCTAAGGGACTCAGGGTGGTACCTCTGGAATTCATGTAGTTAAGGGAATACTTGATATAGATGGCCTCTTAACCTACTCAGGCTTATAGCATGGCAAAACTTCAGTGGACTGTGGCAGGAACATGCTTATAAATGCCTGTGAAAAGGGGAAATACTGTTTTTACGGGAAAGAAGACCTAGAGGTTCTCAGGGAAAATATTGCCAGAACTTTATAAATCAGTAAAACTTTTCTGAATAAGGGTTAAATACAGTGTCTAGATTGTTACTTAGATTTAAGTATCTTCTGCTGAGAACAGAGCCAGCCCAGCTGGCTTGTTTTCTACATCCTTTCATAGTAAGGCTGACATTAATTCCTAGTGCCATTATCCCTTCTGTCACACTTTGACTCCGTGTCTGAAAGTCCTGCTATCCAGTTGGATCTGATCTATGAAAAAATGAGGAAGAGGAAGGTTATGATAGCGCGTGGTAGGTATTTAAAGGGTTGCTCAACTTACTGGGACTGCCACTGCAATCTAGCACCAACAAAATGTTGCCTGCAAATAGTTTAGCTGGGAACTGTGTTGTCCCACCCATTATATACTGCTTGAGTGTCTTTGGGAAATATTTGTGTGGAGGAGAAAAAACATTTTCATTTTACTGAGCTTTTAATTCTATTTAAAACAGAAAACAACAAAAAAACCCCTAGCCCCTCCACATGCTTACAAAAAGCATAAGACAGGTGATGAATATAGGAAATTTGTACTGTAGTTTAACCAGTAACTAAAAAAGAAATCTGAACAGTGGAAGGATTAAATAATACCCATCTTATGGGACCAGGTTTTACTGTGGACTGTTAATCAAGTCTGAGAAAGAACCTGAATATGGTGTAGGTAATTAGGAATTCATTTTCCCAGTGGAAGAGAGGCAAATTACTTAGAAATCTAGCAGTATGACTGGAGAAACTTAAACTTGCAGCACATCTGTGCCCTTCCCATTTTGCAAGTAAATACTTGAGGTCCTCAGGTGTTCTGGTTGCCAGGACCTCGTCATGCAAGTTGCTAGAAGATCAAAGTAAGGGAATTTTATTGACTTTGCTCTGTAGACTTTTCTCTTCCCAATTCCTTGTTTAATTCCTGTTCTTGGAAGTATTTGCTGTGTCCCGATAGTTTGATTGCCTCAATTATTAAACCATAAAATATTAAATAATACTTAGTCTACTCTAATTTGTATCCTATATGAGACAAAAAACCATGATATAGAAGGCTTATGGCCTTTTGGTACTATTAGTTATTTTTCTTAGTGTTTACATGCTGAAATAGTGTCTTCACCATTCTTTTGACATTTATAATTTTGACAGCAAAATTATAAATAATCATAGATGAACTGCAGATAGCAAGGAAGGTGATAATTATTAAAAAAATGTGGAAGGAATGGTACTGTGTGGCTGTGTTTTTCACTGGGAAACCAACTGAAAATACAATGGCCGTATGGGAGATGGCTTGTTTAAATGTTAGGAAATAGCTTGCAACAGGCTACACAACAAACTGTTCATTTTTTTTTAAATTTCTGAACCATATTGACTGGGAAAAAAGTAACTGCAGCACTATATACACTTGTCTACGTACATCTGTACATACAAAATAAAAGTGCAGTCCCACAGAATGGCCTGAGTTGGAAGGGGACCTTAAAGATCACCTCATTCCAACCCCCTGCCATGGGCAGGGACACCTTCCACTGTGCCAGGTTGCTTCAAGCCCTGTCCAACCTACCGTCCAAGGATGGGGCAGCCACAGCTTCTTTGGGCAATCTGTGCCAGTCCTGTCAAATCAAGTGTTAGTGCATATACTCCAATTCAAGAGCTGTGTGGAAACTCATTTTTCAGAGAAATAGTATATTAAGCTGAAATTGTGCCATTAAACTTTTGCAAGTCTATTGTCGTCGTTTTGCTCTGTGCAGAAACTTTTCTTATTAGACTCAGATCAATTAAAAAACTGAAGGTCCTCTCAGGCAAGAGAGCAGTTTGCATGTTTGTATTTTCACTTCATAGTGAAGATATGCTTAGTACTGAAATGTGTTGAAAATAACACTGCCTTTTAATGTTGCTCAGCGAGATCGTGTTTACATGAAAAGAATTGAGCTTGACACACGTCTTTAAGTTCAGGTTCAGTTTGTTAATGACTTTTTTATTGTTGTGTCCACTGTAGGTTCCTGTGTTGTGCGAGATGCCACAGGGAACGTTAATGACACCATTGTCACAGAGCTGACAAACTGCACTGCTGCAGCCTGCAAATTAAATTATGATTTCTCATCCTGTCAGACAAAGTGTCCCTATGGGCTGATGAACAATTTCCAGGTATAAAACTTTCTCTAAATTCTGGTCTTTGGCTTTTGGGTGGTTTCTTTTTGTTTGTTTCTTTCATTGGTTTGGTTTTGGTTTTGGGGGTTTTGTTTTGGGGGGAGGGGTGGTGTTTTTGTTTTGGTTTTGTTGGTTAGTTTTATTTTGTATGTTTTTGTTTAGGTTTTTGTTCTGTTTGCTTTTTGTTTTGTTTTGTGTTGGTTTGGTTTTGGTTTTGTGGTGTTTGGTTCTTATGGGTTTTTTTAATTGTATATTAAGAAAAAGTGTAGGTTAAGTATACCCATCTCCAAAAAGGCAAGGTTTATCTGGAATACTTCAGTGGTACACTCTGGCTGGTATGTAGAAGAAGAGCGTATGCATATCAAAATTCTGTATGTTTATACACATGTGGTATAAATATTTACTTTTCTTCTGAATAAATATAAATATATAAAGATATTTTTATAAATAGATGTTTCTATGTTCTATATAAAAATATATAAATATTATTATATAAATAAAAATATTTACTTCTGGTTAGGTGGTACTGCAGCTCTCTTTAGGTGCCGTTCACTGATGGGGTTAGTTGTACTCTTTTTTTCAGTAGTGATGCATAGTAATCATAGGTAGCCTCTGTCAATAACCTTTTTGTTAATTTTATAAGTATCTTAGAAAGTATGCTGACTTCTTAAGAATGTTTTACATCTTTATCATAGTATCCCCTTTAATGGTAGGAATCTTGTGAATTTCCATTGTTAAAAGCTGATGTTACTTGATTTAAAAATCCTGCAAGAGTTACAGGGTAATTCATAGTCTTCCACACACATTTCATAGGTAATTCTGCTATCCGTGAACTACTGGCAAGTGTTTGAAAGAACCCAAGGAAAATGTACTTACTGCTAATTGATTTTCAGCTTGGTTTGTGGTAGCCCATCTTTGCCCTCAGTCTTTCCATTTGGTGTAAAAAACGTTGACTAGAGATTAAGCTGAAATCTGCTACTGAAAAAGATACTGGAGTTGATGAGAAGTGCATGTGGTACGTGTAGTCCTTACATGTGCTGGCACGTTAGGCTCACAGCCTTATCTGCAAAGCTCTGGGGAAAACCTGTTTCATGTGTGCTGAAATAACATTGCAGTGCAGACCATTCTGTTAGAATAAAATGCATTTTTATAGTGGAATAATTTGATCAAAGTAATGTTACTTTGTTCTTGTTTAGAGAAAGTCAGACTTGCTCTTGTGATGGGAATGATAATTCTGCAAAATGTGGTGACTTTCCTCATCTGCTTAAGCTCAAAAGAGCCATTGTATTGTCAGATGTACAACAGCCAATAACGTGCAACTGGTTTCCTCACATATGTCTTTTTCTTTAAGTCAAAACTTTTGCTTACCATAAACGTTGCTTGTACTTGAGTATTTCTGTCTTCCAAATTATTCCTGCTTCTCTCTGGGAAAACAAGTGAGTGCCAAACAGGAAAAGTCACTTTCAAGGCCAGAGGCAACACAGAGAATGCAGTGCCCCTCACACCCCCTTGCTTTGTTGGGGTTTTGAAAACTTTGTCATGGAGACCACACAGAATCTCTGGGCAACCTGCTGCAGTGCTTAGCCACCTTCTCTCTGGAATTTTGTTTTTCTAATACGCATTGGGACTTTCCCTTGCTACTTTTTCTCTCATTCTCATAGCTTTTGTTGTTTATCTTTGAGAAGAGTCTGATTCTGTCTAGTCAGAGGATATCAGAAGGAAGTTGTTTGTGTGAGATGCTGTTCACCAAATGAGAAACTCTTGACCATTTTCTGAAAGAAATGCTCTCAGCTTTAGATCTGTATATATGGTATCTGTAAGGAGAGATTTTTTTTTTCCATGTGCAGGGCACAGTGTGTGTGGGAATAGGGGCTCCAAGCTTGTATACCTCTCAAGCTCTTAATACAAACATAACTTCTTTCTGTTATGGTAAATAACTTGAGAACAAATTCTTCAGACACTGAAGTTAATCCCTGAGGTGAGCGAAGAGTGGTATATTTGTCTTACAGCTTGTAAACATGCAGCTTCCGAGGCTGAAAGTGCCAGTTTGTGTGCACAGCCTGATGACTTTTATCGCTTCAGTACACTCTGTACTGCATTCAGTTCTTCTGGCAAAGAACTGATCTGAAGTTCCTGCTCAGGCAGCTCAGGTTTTGAGTGTGTTTTGATAGCAAATGCATGGCTTGTAGTACGATTTACCTGTGGAAATCTTAGATGAAAAACTTGGACAGTTGGTCAGACAGGCTTAGTCAGACTTGCATTAAAAGACCATCTTTAGTTTCTGTTGTATTCAGTGCCAGTGAATTACAGGTCCTTCTCACAGATTTCAGACATTTCTCTGCTCAGTGTCAGTGGTTATTCTGTGTACAGGCCGTCACCTGGCAGAAGAGTAACTTAGAAAACTTCTCTGTAGCCTCACGCTAAAACTTCTGTAGAAGTTACAGCTTCGAGTAACTTAAATGCAGAATCTGGTCAACTTTGGATGAAAATTGAAAGTAGCATGAAACTCCATTGTTTTGATACAGCATTTTTTTTCTGCTCCATGATGGCTGGACCAAAGAACTTAAACTGTAGTCAGAATATGGTATTTCATTATCCCAGACATTTGGAATTTAAGAAACTGCCTAAACTGCAAATGCCAAGCAAACATAATGAGGCCCTTATCAGCAGGAACTGTATATCTGTGTTACCACACCAGTGGTTACAGGGCCATTCTGCCCTTCCAATTCTACATGTTCTTTCAGGGATGAAAATTTTGGTTCTATAGCCAGCTGCAGTGTGTGGGCTTCTTGGTTTGTGGTCATGAGGTCTGGATTATGGTGTCTGTATTGGGAGTGGGAGGGAGGGGTATTTAACACCATGGCATACTGGTTCTGCTGGAACTAGTTCCTCTTGTATTCCCCCAGAAGCTTCCTCTAAAGTCTCTTACATTAGTAACTCAAGGCATAACTTGCTAGCTTTTAAAATACCAAATGTTATTTGCATACATACTGCTCAGATATCTCTCATTTTATGTATTTTATTTCTAAAAAAGGGTATAATACTCAAAAATACATAGGGTAAATAATTAGAGGCATTGGATAGAGCCTAGAAAGAGAATGTAAAATATGAGTAGATCGTAAGAAATTGATGCAAGTATAGTAAAGTCATGGAGACTTGTACATAAATTCTGTCTGTAGCCAGGGAAGACTGATTGTCATCCTTGCAGGGAAGAAAATTTTCATGCTGCTTCTATAAAAGTTATTCTCTGCTTGTTTATTATGTTGCTATAGCAGAAGTTTCTTTCTAAAATAATAGTAAAGCATTAACACCCTTAAACTTTCTTCTATAATACAGTGTAGGATTATTAGAAATTGGCATTTAGGACTGTAACTTTTTCTGTTGCTCATAAAACTAACTTAAACCCAGGCAGAAGAGGCATAACTTAATAAATGCGTTGCTAGTTTTGTTCATCTGTGATTAAAGGCTTGGCATTAATTTTTTTTATCAGCTATAAATAGGCTTCCGGAAATGCTGTCCTTCATTCATTGCAGTATGTCATACATGACAGCAACTTCACTGTCTATTACAACCTACAATTATTTAATTTCTGTTTTTAGGCAAGGCATGTCTTGTAGTGACCAGTGAAAGCTGATGTAGTGTAGAGATCTAGTTGCTTGTTGGAGAGGCCCAGCAGTCTTTGTTAGCTTGACCTGGGGAAAACCACTAAATTTTATCATGAATTTGGCTCTAGGAATGTGAAAAAACTTCATATCGGTCACCTATATATTGTGTCTGAGAACATGTCCTACCTAGTAAGATTGCTTTAGGCAGCTAGAGTCTACAACTTCAGGTGACAGTAACTTTAAAATGGGACACTTCTGCATGATCTTCCTTGCCTTCCTTCAGTTGCTTTTCAGCTGATCTAGCTGAGTTTGCCAAGATGAAAGGCAAGTAAGTAGTGCAAATAATGCAGAACTAGAGTTCAGTCTGTTCACTAAAAACCAGTGGCTGTTTTAAAGCAACTTAGGCTTTTGTATTATAAAGAGAAGTACTCTATTGAGCCATGAATATTTTTAAATACGTATTTTTATATCTCAATTGTGCAGCTTTTCACTACAAGCCCAAGTACTCCTCAGCAGGGCAGCTCTCAGTGAATTCTTCTCCTGTTTTGTACTCGTGTCTTGGTCAGTGATAGGCTAGTCAACATATGAAACGAATTCCAATATATTTTTCTTACATTACCATTTTTTAATCCACTTATAAACCCATGAAAATTTGTAACATTAATTTTTTGACCTGAGGATTACATAGTTTGATGATATATTCTCTGAAAAGCCACCTTCTCTTGTTCTAAAAATAGGGTCCATTTATATCCCCTGATATGTCTCTAGTTCATTTATTTACATGAATGCATGATATTTAGACAGCTTTTAAGTGGACAGTACGTAATGTTTTTTTCTGTAGTTAATAATATCCATTTGTATAGTATACTTTTCACATTCTTTAAAAAAAGAAATTATTTTTCTTTCAGGTAATGAGCATGGTATCAGGATTTGCACCACTGATTTCTGCAGGTATTTTTTCAGCCACGCTGTCTTCTGCTCTGGCATCTCTTGTGAGTGCACCTAAGATCTTCCAGGTAAGTAGAGAAACAGAACCATAATATTTTAAAGAATAATTAATTTTTAGTAATGATTTTTGGAAGGGGACTCTTGACATACTACCGTCATGATTCATACCAGTTGAAATCAGTAGATCATGTTAATATTAACCTTCTTTTTAGAATGAGAGAACTTGTATCAAACTCATATCAAGTATGTTAATGTTTGATGTTTTTGAGTGTTATTTTGCTCTACCTTCTTTTAACTAATTAGCTTCCTTCTTTGTCTTAATATTTGTATTTAATTGGGTTAAAAATAATCAGTAGGAGTCAGTTATAGAAAGGGTTTTCTTGCACAGTAGAAACAAAAGTACTAATGCATGTATTGGGCAGCTTTCTGAGAAAACAGTCTCTAAAGAAAGACCTTGTGATTGTAAGACACCTAAAGTGAAATAGTTAAGGAAAGCAGAGCTGCTATTCCTGTAAATAGACTTAACTGAAGGATATAATATTGGAAATTCAAAATGTCAAGATGGAAAGACTGTTGAAAACAGAATTAGTATATGATGGCTATAAACCTTTGTTCAGGAAGGTAATTTGCAATGGAAGATGGCATTAGAAAGGATACATTTTGAACAAAATGCATACTGACTTGGGATTTTATTTTTTTTTTCTTAGGCTTTGTGCAAAGACAGCATTTACCCAGGATTTCAAATGTTTGCTAAAGGCTATGGGAAGAACAATGAACCACTGAGGGGATATATTCTAACATTTTTAATTGCTCTTGGATTCATACTAATTGGTTAGTTGGAAATTGTAATAAATCTCAGTCCTGTTTTGTCCTTTAGAACGCATTCAAGTCCAAATTGTGACTTCATGACAGGGGTCTAATGCAAAGCTTAATTCTAAGCCAGCATTCGAAATCTTGTTTATTTGGAGGATTACTTTCTCCTGTCTTGCAGATATAACTCTGTCTAGAACTACAGTAAATTTTAACTGTAGGAATACTGCACTTAATTAGCACAGATATCTGTCTTTAGTTACTATCAGTCAGTAAAATTACAGCTTTTTGAGTAGTGAGATGTCTTGTAAATATGAAAGTTTATTTCAGATATTTATAATTACAAAAGCTTCCGTAAAGAACAAACTTGACTGAGCAATATTTTTTAAAGTGTGTTTTTCTATTAAGTTACAAACGGTAGAGATGAGTGCTGATGCTGCTGTTCCTAAAGGTAACAGTTAATCTAGGTAGAATTACAAATGTTATGTGTAGATGGCAAACTAATTGTGCTGTGTCCACTCATGAGTTCTGGGCCAGTGCGTTTGAACTTTCCCAGTTTGCTCTTTGCTCCAAGTCTGCTTAAGGCAAAGATATACCCATGAGGTTTCTACTTACCATGCTGACTGGAAGCTTAATTGCAACAAGTAGAAACTTGTAGGCTAGCATGGCACATTCTGTATATTTGGGGGTTTTGTGATGGTGAGATTACACATAAATGTTTTGTACTGTGCTGCCTCGAGGAAAGGAGGGCATCAGGTTCTTTCCTCCCACTAAAGAGGATTTGGGCACCACTACTGTGATGAAGTTGGTGTGTAATAATGCTCTGTACTGTTACCATTGATTCAACTTCCAGTTTAAAATGCAGGCAGATGAACATGTTTGTCATATTGCTCACACTTTGTCAGCTGTTGCTATTTACCGTAGTGAAAACTGTCTGAAACTTAGGAGTGTCTTATTCTTTGCTGTTTGAGAATTGACCTGGAGATGTACTGCAGATGTGTTAGTGCTCTCTGTACTACTGCTGGAATTCTTCAGAACCCAGTGTATTGGTGCACTGAACTGCATCTTCTTAGAGTATATTAGAAGATAAGGTGGTTTTTAGCAAAATTTTTACTTTCTAGTCTACAAAGGCGTTGGATGATTTCTTTGATAACAGCCTGCTTTGTTTTTCATTTTGCAGCTGAACTGAATGTCATTGCTCCAATTATTTCTAATTTCTTCTTGGCCTCATATGCATTGATTAACTTCTCTGTATTCCATGCTTCTCTAGCAAAATCTCCAGGTAGGAACTACATTTTGGGAGTGGGAGTTTAGCCTGCAATTCCTTTATGCATAAATGAAATTTAAAAGGTATTAATATAAATTAAGGTTTACTTTAATTACTAAATACCTACTTGATTCTCATGACACATTTTAGTTAAAAGAGTAATATGTTGTGTACCTTGGTCTTCTGAAATTTTGAGAACTGGATGATCCAGTAGAGCTTGGGAGCTACTAATCTTATCACCTTTGCTGAGGGAACACAAGGTAATTCAGAGTCTGTTCAGAAACTCTTGAAGAAAACTTGCTTACTTACTCAGTATCTGGTGTTGGCAAACCACCCTTTTTTTGTCTTTGAGTTTCTGGTAATATATTCCATCCTCCTGTCCAGAAGAAATAGGAATTTCAGATGGTATTTCCAAATCTTTGTAGTTTTTAGTGTGGGAGGTTAGTTAATTTGTAGGAATAAGCTGAAACCCAGTACTTGCAGAACAGATGTATATCATACCCAGTCCACGTGCATTTGTACTGAAATAACACCCTTAAAAGCTTCTTAAGTCACTGAACTGGGAGATAGTTGGGGAATTTTTTTGCAGGAGGATGAGCATAAGAGTTTACACAACAGTTCTGTGTTTAATACGCTTGTTAATCTTGGATGTGTTTTTGGGAGTGTATGTGTGCATGTATATTTACCTGATTTTGGATAAACTTGAGGCAAACAAGGCTATAAAACAGTGACAGTCCAGTACTTCGAAATACTCAAGTTCTACTTGGATATATCTGTCCTTTTCAAGTGGTGAAAATTTATGACTGTGTGAAAATAGTAAAAATGCACAACTGAAAACAGTAGTATATAGAGACTGAGTCATGAGCTGATGATTCATGTTATACTGCCTTTTACAGCAAAAATCATCTGTCAGACGAGCCATTGCAAAAGATTTCTGTAGCCTGACTTAATAGACATACTGGCACAAGCATCTTCAAACTTTCCCTTTGAACTATACTTTTAGAGGGCAAAATTTACTTTTGGAGCATTTACTTATGTGTCTAAGAAAGATGCAAATTCATTTGAAGAGTGTTGGAAAATTGAAAGCATAAATGTGCCAGTCTGTATTTTGTACATCACTGAAAACCACACATTCATGTGAAATGTGATGCAGAACACTAGAAAAGGGAAAAACAAATAATGATTCTTTCTCTTGGAGTAGTGATAAAATTAATTTTCCTCCTCTTTTCTGTCCTCTCAATTATATTCTGACTAGGTTGGCGCCCTGCTTTCAAATACTACAATATGTGGATTTCTCTTGTTGGAGCTATTTTGTGCTGCATTGTAATGTTTGTCATTAATTGGTGGGCAGCACTTCTAACATATGTCATAGTTCTTGGACTTTACATTTATGTCACTTACAAGAAACCAGGTATGTATAGCAGCTTCTTTTGTTTATGGGGAGTGGGAAAGAGAGTTGCAGAAGGGAAAAAGTGGTGGCCTTGGTGGGGAGAGAAAACCCAACAATTTCTTTGTGATTGGGCAACTAGTTCAAACTTCTGTTTCAGGCTTTAGTTGTAAAGAAATGTAATTATGAGTGTGTAGTCAGTGCTGTTCCCTCTCCTCCAAAATTATGATGTGTGCCTTTCACTTAGACATATATATATGAATGAAAATTTGAGGAAAAGGCTGATATGGAAAGAGCTCAGGTTGCAGCAAAAAAAGGCACTATGAAGGAATGTGATATCTTGATGGGAAGTGAGAGAGGATGCATCTCTACCTTTCCTAATTGAAAAGGGATTTGAGTGGTGGATGCTTTTTCAGTAAACCATTCCTAGTGCTATGAACGATCTTGCTAGTGCTTCTAAGAGCTTTGTATGTTGTAAATACAAGATGAAGCAAAACTGAGCAAAGAAAGTGTTTCTAAAGTTGGAAATGAGGAAAACTCTGCATCTGGGTCTGTGAAGATCTGTGATGATAAGGGTTAGACTCTATGATCCATGTGGGATATTCTTTGTGATAAATTCATTGTAGCTGTCAGAAGATGTGTATTGGAACAAAATGAGAGGATAGTGGGATCTTTCTTTTCCTCGTAACAGTAATAAACTCAAAGGATTTGCTTAATCTAGCAGTTTTTCACTGAAAATATCTTGACTATATGTAGGAAATGCTTTGAGGTAACATTTTTTCTTTGCTGTGATATAAAATAACAGCATTTTTTCTGAGATTATCTTTAATAGAGTTGCCTCTTTAGCTGTAGGGTTTGTTGACTAGTATTGTGTAGAATGTATAGAGGTGTAGCCTAAATTTCTTGTTTTCAGTTTGTATCCAACATTCATGTTGTGATCATGTAGTTTTATGTATAAATAGTATGTCAGAACTTCAAATTTTTCAACAGATGTGAACTGGGGGTCCTCTACACAAGCATTGACTTACTTGAATGCACTGCAGCATTCTATCCGGCTCTCAGGAGTGGAAGATCACGTGAAGAATTTCAGGTAACTTCAGTTAATATTAAAAATAGGAAATTGGGTTCAGTAGAGCACTGTGACAATGTTTGCTGTTGTGGCTTCCATTAAATGCACTGTTACACCCTATTGTGCTCGACAGGTTTAGAGGGAGGTTGGTTGATTCACTCTGGGCCATGCATGGGAGAAATGACAAAATCCTCAGGAAGTTCAGTAACAAACTTTAACTTGCAAACTGTAGAACATTAAGGCAGAATAAGGTACTTGGCAGATTTCAGAACAACATCCAGACAAAGTGAAGCACTTCACAGACTTTAACTTTGCAGGCTTAAACTTAGCCAACCTTAACTTCGACACAAAAAGACGCTTACTAGGGCATCGACTGGAATTTCTAGGCTGGCTTACAATATATTTTGAGAAGTTAGGAGACAAGGAGAAAGAAAGGATAAGAGTAGAAAGACATCACCACTCATGGATCAAGTGACAAGATGTGATTATTGCAATTTTGATGTCTGTTGGTCTAAGTGGTGGTCCCAGTCTTGGTCTCTTTGGGATGCGGGAAGCCCACAATGCACAAAGTTCATTAAGTTAATGACTGTTTAGATTCAGGTGGGAACACCCAGGTACCTGCACTGAGCAGGGAGTTCAGCACTGTTGCAACACTGAATCATGTGCAGTCCTCTGGTGGAAGGCTCCAGAGATGAGTCTGGGGGCTCTTTGTGAGTCTTTGATGGTTTAGGGCATGGTCTAAGACATGGTAGCTGCCTCTCACATCAGCATGTTTGAGCCAGTTATGCCCTACCAGAAGTTATGAACACCTTCAGGCCTTGGTGTGTCTCAGTATCTCCTTGCATGGGAATTTTTAAACCTGAGCCAATTGTGTAAGGGAGGACATTGCCATGATAAAAAACACTGTCCCATCTCACAGTATCTTATTGGCCTTAGTGGCCTCTTCCCTGATCTGGCTCAAAACCCAGCTTGTTGCCAAACAAAAGTTGGTTTGTCATGGTCATCCTCTTGTTCCCTGCACCTGGGCTGCTACTTTGCACATTCTCAGCCAAGTACCTCCTTCTTTTGCAAGTGGATAGTTGTCTGAGCCATTAACCATTAATATTTAGTCTCTCATGAACACGTTTGTCTGCTGTGACTTAAAACAGCTTCAGATTTCTTCATCGTGGACATCCCCTGAACATATTGTGCGAGCATTTTGTCTGTGATTAGGGTTTGCACTTTAGAAGCAAGGCTGAGGATGATGCCTGCTTACTGTTAGATGCCTTGTGGTCTGCATTGTGAGCTGTGATTTGTGTTCCTCTTCGAAACTGAATTGGAGGATATATATGCTCCAAAGCGCTTATGAGCATTCACTCCACTTGGGATGAAAATGATGTAACCTAAAATCCTGAAGATAGGTATCTGTGGGTGTTGTACTCAACACCATCTGTTTCTCTTCAGAAATCTCTCCCTGTAGTTCACTAATGGCAAACGGGCTGGACGAGTGTTTTCCACGCAGCTGAGGAACAAATCTGATTTGTTGTCTATCAGTATGGCTCCCCAGGAAAGGTCCTACTCAAAGAGGCAGTTTTCTGTCATATTAGTAATTATGCTACTTATCTGGGATATGCTGTTGTAAAGGAAAGACGCTTCAAATAAATTTAACAAAAAGTATTGATTTAAACTAATTCATCCAAATAAATGGAATTCTAGATTGAGACGGATCGTTTTTGCTTGAATGTGACCTTTCCATATGGTCTTGTCCAGTCCCTGACTCAGCTGACTCACCACGGGTCCAACTGCAAAGTTAAATCAAATTTTGATGTTACACCAGGTTGCTCAGGGCCATATGTGTTGAGTATTTCCAAGGATGGGTATTCTATTGACCTATCTGTTCAACTAGAGCACTTACCTCCTACATGCTGCCTTTGCCCAGCACAGGATTTATAGTCTGGCAATTAGTCTAACAGATCTCTATCTTTGCATTCTTAGGGCAGAATTTAATAAGAAATGAGTTAAGGGAGAGATTCTTAATACAGGTTTTCTCTGAGGTTATGAAGAACCTGGCAGGAACACAAGGTTTAGTGGTGGATTTAGTTATTTTGTCAAGTTTATGGTTTGACTCAATAATCTTAAAGGTCTTTTCCAGCCTAAATAACTCTGATTCAGTTCTGTGATTCTGACATCAAAAATGAACTGAAGCTGCTGCAGAGATTAAGACAGATTACTTTAGGTGATTCTTATGATATGGAAAATTTTCAGCTGAAATGACTTCTGAAGTCTGGACACAATCTTTTAAAATTGATTAGAAAGTTGTCTTTAATAACTTACTTGCAGTAGTTTGATTCTGCCTTCTGAATGGTAGTAGTTTTAAAAAGAGCATATGATTCCAGTTTTTTTGTTGGACTCGGAAGAATCTAAGCTAGAAAATGTGAAGGGATGGGACTTAAAAATGGGGGAGGAAATTCATGCCTCTGACCTAGTCTTGTCTAAAATCTGTTTAAACCTTTTAAATGTGTAAATGTTTAGATTTAATGGGAATGCTAAATTTTTGTCCAGTTAGTCATAGATCCACTGACAGTTGTGGAACAATTGATCTTTAGTTAATTTAACCTAGTCTTGTAAAAGTAGATCGTTTTTCGGAGATGATTATGTTGTTATGGCTAATATTTGGAGGAAACATTTCTGTTAATAAAAATCCCCCAGAACTCCAGATTAATTCCAGTCTTTCTCCCCCATCTATTCATAATTCTAGACCTCAGTGCTTAATTATGACAGGAGCTCCAAATGCACGTCCAGCTTTGCTTCACCTTGTCCATGCTTTCACCAAGAATGTGGGCTTGATGATCTGTGGCCATGTGCATATGGTAAGTGTATTCTGTCTTTACTTTAAAATTATCTTTTTTTTTTTTTTTTTCTATCTAGTTTGGGGTTTGTTTTGGGCTTTTATTAACCTGTTTGCTTTTTGTTTCTCTTTTTTTCTTTAAATGTGGGGGTTTTGGTTTGTTTCTTTATTATCTCCTTTTTAAATGAAAGCATTATTAAACATTAAGAAAATTAAAGATTTCGCTAGTAAGTTCCACTCATGTGTGGATCATCACTGTTGAGTCAAGTGTACTGTGGGGGAAATATTCCAAAGTTAGTACTTTAGATCATTTGATGTCTAAATGCTGAAGAACCTTTCTAGGAATAAAGTGAACACTGGATTACAGCTTGGGCCTCTTTCTGTTCTGTGTCACACAGTCTCATGTACTCCCTCATGCTTTGGATCTGCAGTATAGAGCTGTGTTTCCTCTCAATGTGACTATTTCAGAGGGACTGATTGCTATGTAGAGCTCTTACAAAGCCTGAAAGAAAATAAACCTTTCTGAGCAGGGAAGTCAATAGCAGTTTATCCAGTAGTTAACTCTTAACCTCCCGAGTAGTTTTTTTATTTCTTCAGTTATCATGTTCGTTTCATTGGCAGCTGAAACAGTAATGTGAACAGGTATTGCCTGTTTTCTTTCTGTCCAGCCCCTTCTATTTCACTAAGTATCTCTGGTTTTTTTTAATCAGAATATGAAATGTGGCTGGTTTTGCGCTGGGGTGTGTTGTGAGGGTGGTTCTACAAGGACATAATTTTAACAGCTCTTACTACCTAAAGTGTCTCTTATGGCATACTTACAGAGTGTTTTCATGGTGGTGGAAAGGAAGCAAGCTTCAAGTAATTCTTCAGAATCATGCTGAGTTGTTTTAACTGAGATGTAGGGTGTCTGTCACATGTGATCTTTACCAAAACTAAAGCCAGCTACAGAGAGGTCATGGCATCTCTGATAAACATCAGCATGTTGGGATTGTGTGATTTAGCTTCATGTCTTCAGGCCAGACTTTGTTGCATCACTGAGAACATTTAGGCAAGTGTAAGTACGACTGACATATGTCACCTCAGCACAGAAAAGATGTGGATCTGTTAGAAGGAGTCTAAAGGAGACCATAAAGATGTTCAGAGAGCTGGATCACCTCTCCTGCAAAGACAGGCTGAGAGCCCTGGGGTTGTGCAGCCTGGAGAAGAGAAGGCTCTGGAAAGACCTTAGAGCACCTTCCAGTACCAAAAGGGAGCTTATAAAAAGGAGGGAGAGGGACATTTTATGCAGACAGGTGGTGTCAGGACAAGGGGCAGTGTTTTTTCAAAGGGCAGGTTTAGGTTATATGTTAGGAAGAAATTATGTATTCAGAGCATGGTGAGGCCCTGGCAGAGGTTGCCAAGAGAAGCTGTGGCTGCCCCATCCCTGAGGCTGTCCAAAGCCAGGTTGGATGGGGCTTGGAGCAACCTGGGATAGTGAAAGGTGTCCCTGCCTGTGGCAGGGGGATTGGCAGGTCACATCTTAACTGTAACCAGTACTATGATTCTGTAACTTTAAATACTCTAAAAATGGGTTTGGATATACCACACTTACTAAATATCACTTGCTTCTGATCTGATGAACAGATAAGAGCAAACTAACGCAATCCACAGTACATACATAGTATGTCTTTTGGTTTCTGTCTATACAAACTTTATATTTCAATGAGTGTGAAAGGGCAGAAACTGAATAATAGTAGAGAGGTAAAGTATCATAGATGGAATAACCTCTATTAAAAAAAATGGGCTGTACTGAAAAGAATAAAGTGGTGTCATCCTTCTTGTAGGAGGACAATTCTGATTAGATATTACTTGGGAGAAATATCCTATCTCTATTTAAAACAGCTTTCCTGCAAGAAGGGTGACACTACCTCATTCTTCGCTAACTCTGGATATTTGGTCAGAGTCTGTGTCCTTTTGCAAAAGCTGGGCTGCTATGTTCTTGGTATACCTCGTTCTGTATTCTGCATTTTGATATCTAGGAGGAACACAAAAGATTCATCCTGATGGAAGTAATAAAAAGGAAGTATATGAAGAGGAGGTGGCTTTGACTGCAAGATAAAACTGTGGAAGTGACACTACTGTGACAAAGGCATTCTAATTAGGATTTGGTATACATGGAGGCCCACTTGTACAGCTTGAAACAGATAATTGCCAGATACGCTTTGGAGGACAAGTTTGTGCCACCCTCTGGGGAAGAGTGTTGTGCTCTGCAGGGACAAGTTTATTAAAGCTTGAGCAACCCTCTTCCTAAAGACGATAAAATTTTTCAGCCTGTGCTGCTGATAATGCCTGTATTTTGTGAGTTTTGGGTGTTTTTGGTAGTGTGCAAGTTTTTTTTGAGATTCTCTGAGTCTGACTCGTAGCAGTGAAATTAAAAAAAGAGTGAGGTGGGGGGGTTTTTTTACTCCCACTGCTCATATTCATAATCCTTGTTCACTCTCCTCTTATTATTTTCTTATTTTGAAAGGGTCCTCGGAGGCAGGCCATGAAGGAACTGACTACTGATTTGGCTAGGTATCAGCGATGGCTAATTAAAAACAAGATGAAAGCTTTCTATGCACCAGTGCATGCAGAGGACTTGAGGGATGGAGGACAATATTTAATGCAGGTACATCTCTCTCAATTTTTGTTTTAAAGTGGCAAAGATACACACCAAAATTTGAAGTGGCTTTATACTTTGAAGTGTGTTCTGTTTGCAATATTATCGGATAGCTTTGATGAAAAGTACTTTGTTTGCTGCTTAAGAGAATAATAGAACCTTTAATTGTTTCAATAACATAACTATTTTATAATATACTTTTTGTTCTTGTAGGCTGCTGGTCTGGGTAGAATGAGACCTAACACCCTTGTTGTTGGATTTAAGAAAAACTGGAGGCAAGGTGATATGAGAGAGGTTGAAACCTATATCAACTTATTCCAGTAAGTAGGAAATTTGAAGCTGTAGGTCCTGCCTATCCACTTCAATATGTTTGGTAGTAAGTCAAGAAAGATCTTGGTTGCACAAAGGTAGACTTAGATTTTCCATATGACTGATTCAGCACTCTTCAACACCTTGTTATTTTTCTGATGTGGAAACTAGTAAGTCTTTATAGTATAGTAGATTACAAAACACAACATGAACCCTTAAGATAATATAATAGCCATAAAGAAAATGAGAAAGGAAATCCTAGTGCAATTTGACAGCACTGAAAGTAGACCAGTTTTGGCTGAAAAATTTGAGTAACGTGTGCTACACAAATATTTAAGGAGAAAACCTCATTTCACTTACACAGAGATTTTTTTGTGCAGCCTAAGTGGTACTTAACCCACTTCATTTGTGATTTATACTTCTTGTTTACTGTGCTTTTAAAAGAAAGAAAGGATGGGGGTTTACAGGCAGTGATTAGGAAAGGGGGGAAAAAAGTCACACTCGAGAGAAAAGCAGGGGCACCAAATGCAGTGAAAAATAAACACTTTGGTTAGTTCTTAGTTTTTCTTTTTTTCCTATTTTGTTTCGGGATGGCTTTTGCTGGAAGATCTGTCAAGGCCAACAAGTCATGTGGTTCTCCACATCCCTAAAGAAACCTCAGGAGGTAATAACTGGAGGTTAAATGTATTTCTGGAAAATTAAAACTTGCTGAAGCACACAGTAGAAACACATCTAATCTGTATAAATCTAACCTATTGAACAATTAAAATAAAGTGTTCCCTAATGCACAAAACATTTCCCTCTTAAATCAAACTCAATTCTTCTTACAAGTACTATAGAATATATTGATACTTCAAACATTTCTAGTTGAGTCTTAGTACTTTCAAAGAGAAGCAGTTATTGAGTGAAGTCTTGAGAAATTTCTCTCTGTGGAAATGATACAGGAGGGAGTTCTCTGATTTATGGTTGTTTGTAATTAATGAGGTATTTATATGTAAAGGATGATTAGTGGCTAATGCAAACTGTGATATTATTAAGTTCATGTTTTTCATATCTTGTATCATGGGTGGGAGGAAATTGTTACTAATTTTACTACAGTTTTACTTACTGATTTATTCAGGCTCTTTGGTTGTTTCTACAATAATGAAGTTTTTCCCTCTGTTTTTGAATGGAGTGAGTTCCTACCTCATCAGATGTAACAGAACTAGGAACACTAGTTCTTACTATATATATAGCTTACCTATAGATAGTTTGATTCTAAATTACAACATCATAGGTGTTTTTAATACTCCAATTGTTTTGAAAAAATGTCACAATGTTTTAGTTCTCATTTCAAGAAGATCTACTCAAAATAAATCCCTTTGTTGATTCAGGGAAATAAAAATACTATTTTCTTACTGTATCTTATCCCTGCAGAACATGACTGACCTGTTCATGTTGCTTTTATTTAATCACTTTTTACGTAGATGGGAGAAGGAGAAGAGGGAATAGGTATCCTCTCTAGACATTGCTTTTCAGGATATGCTGTTCACCGATAGATTTAATGATTTGGAATCAAAACTGAAATTGTAACGCAAATTTATTATTTGTGACTGCCAAAAGCAGTGTTTAGTCACTGGAATACGTTCAAGGTAGGTCCTTTGGAAATGAAAAAGCCATAAAATAATTTGATTTTGTCCCTTTTGTTTAGTGATGCCTTTGATGTTCAGTATGGTGTGGTTGTCATTCGCTTGCAGGAGGGCCTAGACATTTCTCATCTTCAGGGCCAAGGTAAGATTTATTTTTTTCTATCTGGTGAATATCTGTTCTAATTCCCTTTTAATATTGCTTTTTAAAAACACTAAATGAAAAATTATTAAGTAAAATATCGCCCTTCTTATGGAATAAAATTCAATGAAATTAGCAAGTCAGAACTGTAAAATAAGAAAACCCAAGCAGATCTTGGTTTTTTTGTGTTTCAACTTTCTGTATTTGTAAACTGTATATAATGTTTCCCAAAGATTTACTATTTTATTGGAACAAATTAAAGATGATAAGTTGGTATCGAGTGTCTGGGACTCAAGCCTAGAAATTGTGAAAATCACATCAAATGATCCATGATGCAAGAATACCATGAGTTTGGTGTGGGATGCCAACCCCTACACGCACTAGTTTAGAGCTATTGAGTAATCTGTCTCAATTTTGGAAAGGTCTTCTGTTTTCCATGTGGAAGGCATGGTCATGCTTTGTGGGTAGTGTTCTTAAGCTGAATGGTATAATTTGAGTTCATCTTCAAACAGAATATTGAAGGAAGCCTGTGAGCTATAGTGACAACTTCTGCTGAGTTGATAATGTGTAGTATGTTTGTAGCTTGCTCCATACAAAGCAGCTGCAGTGAGGAGAAATCTTTGTGACACAAACTCTGTAGGAGGGGCACCAAGCAGCTGCAGTGAGGAAAAATCTTTGTGACACAAACTCTGTAGGAGGGGCACCCTACTGAAAGAGGGCAGGGTTGTTCCTTCACTGTTTTAGGATTTGGAGAGAGAGAGCCTGTCACTGCATGCAGGAGGGCAGAGGAGTATGAGAGATGGCAAAGAGTGAACCTGCATTGTGAAAACAACACTGCTGAGAAAACTGGGAATATAACACCAAGGTGTCAGAAGAATCTTAGTGCCCACAGGGGACTTTGAATTTGTTTTAACTCTGGTTGCTGCCAAGTAGCTCCACTGAAGCCAAAACTGGAATAAAGACTTGGCTGTGAGACATACTTGGTCTGTGCCTTCTAAGGCTTACCTTCCTCTTGGAGTGGAAATGGAAAACGCTTCACCAACTAATGTTTTTTTCCTCCTAGTTGTGCTTCCACAGTGTTAACTAGCTCTGCTTTATTATATTTAGCCTATGGGAATGCATTCAACAATCACAGTGTGGGGAGGTGGCAAAGAATTACAGCTCTGCTCAAAGGAGGAGCCTCCTTGTGCTCTGAAGCAGTTCATACAAGACTTTTGTGCTAGTTTTCCTCCCCTCTTTGCCAAAGCATAGCAGTCCTGTAGAGTTGAATTAATTGTGAACCAGCACACTGCAGTCACATACCTCTATTTGAAACAATTAAGTTGTTTATAATGTGTTTCTCTGCTTTTTCAAAGAAGAGTTACTGTCATCCCAAGAAAAATCTCCGTGCACCAAGGATGTCATAGTAAAAGTGGATTATAGCAAGAAGTCTGAGACAGACACTTCTATAGCTTTTGCTCCATCATCTAGTGAAAGAACTCCCACTCCACGTAAAGGTAACCTGCTAGTTAGTAATGAAACTTGAGTTCTCAGTCTTTCTCATTTCTTTTTCAGTTCCTCTCTCTCTTCACCAAGGGATTATTTATGGGATCTTTGTGTCTGTGAAACAGAAGTGTGTCATGCTTTTCTAGACATTGATGTCTAATCATTTCAGTGATTAGGTTTGGAGCTTACCAAACCTAAATAAATCTTTGGTTTGCAGTCCCCTAAATAAAGCAGGTGGTAGACAATGACCTACACTGGGATTTTCTTTGTTGTTGAGTTTGACAGGCATTAGAAAGGGCTTGAGAATTGAGCCCAATGTGTGTTTGGAAGGCTACTAAATTTGAAGGCTTTTTCATCCTGACCTTACATACTATGTGCATGTTAGCAGGCACAAATCATCCAAGATACTGTGACACTAACCAGTATCCTCTTCTCTTAAAAAACAAAAGTCTAATAGTTAAGTGAGCAATGGGAGTAGATTTTTTTTTTTAAAGTACAGAGGAATCTCAGGATTTGGTAGACTGCATTTGTGTTCTTTTCTTTGTGTGAAAATCCACTTCATTCTACATCTTATTTTCTAATTTTTTTATATATACGTTTGTATTGTTTTCATTAATATCACAAAGGAAATTAACATTTTTATTTTGTGTCTTTAAAAACCTTCCAGAGGAGGACGAGGATGGAAAGACTTCAACACAACCACTGTTAAAAAAAGGCAGGCATTTTCCACCTTTTTGTGTTAAATCATTCTTTCACATTGTTAATTTCAATTTTCCTTTTGTACTTCTTTCTACACCTTAGTACTGGAGAGGGAAATACCAACCGTGCATTGTAATTTGTTTCTTCATATCTGCTTTAAAATGGGCTTCATCTTTAGGGATTAGGCTATGAAAAAAAAACAAAAGCAGCATTGTGGAAATTCCCAGAACAAGTTGCTACTGAGGAAGGATTGTGCATAAATGTTGAAATTTTAAAAACAAACGAACAAACAAACAAGCCTTTTGTTTTTAATTACTATTTGAAATGTGTTCGGGAGCTTTCTGCTTTCTTAGTTCTTTGTGTCTCAGGTATCTGGCTCCCTGGTTAGTTGAGGCTTAAGGAAAATACTGTCTGGTGTAGTGGAAGTGCTCTGTCAAGTTTATTCAGTAGATCTTCTAAAGCCATACTTAATTGCTCTGTTATTTGGAATTGTTCAATATCCTGCAAATTAAGGCATAATATGGACACTGAGTGAGATGAACTTCTGAAATAACCTGAAGTAGTAGTTCAAGTCACAGCCATTTGAGAGATGAACTAAGCAGTTTTTACTTCTTGGTTTATTTCTGGCTTCTTTTGAGTTAATCAGCTATTTTTGCCTTCTACAACTCATCTCACTGTTTTGACATTTTTTTCATGATTTCAGCAGCTAGAAGTTTTTGTGTTTTAATAATGGAAAGTGAGATTACATCTTGAAGCACAGGATGGCAGTTTGGAAGAAGTCCAGTATGCAGTAAAGTAGTATTAATGTAAATTAGTCACAGATGTGCTCCAAATTTAAAAATTCCTAAAAAAATAAGGACAGTCAAACTCCTGGCTCTTGTTCAGTCTGAGATTCTAGTTACGAGAAAGAGGTTAGGGTTTTTTCCTCTGCTGAAAAACAAAATTACCTGTATTGTTCTAATTTAAAATGCCATTATTGTCTTGCTCTCAACAAATCAAATAAGTTTGTTATGCAGAACAGTCTGTATTGTGCTTTAGAGTCCTGTACATGCAAAAAGGTATTTGTTGCAGAAGACAGGATTCCAATGGACATAAGTAGCTTTTATTTTCACCGCATGCTTAAGGAAAATCAGATTTAGGAAAGAAGTGCTTAGAGTGTGGTATTAGTTATCTACCTATTTTTAGGGAAGTTTTGTTACTTATAACAGGTAGTAACAGTGCATTGCCTAGTGCTCTGAAGCAAGGTCAGTTAAACTGTCTAGGCAAATATCAGTATAAAGATCTCACACATCCTTTATTTGTCAGATGCCTGCTGAACTACTTCATCTGCTGAAACTATGAGTTAGACTCTCTACAGATAGCTCAGTTTATATCCAGTCAATCAAAATCTGGAGTTGGGGTGGGGTGGGGAGCGGGAACAATTTTTTTCAAAATTATAAGTACCACAAAATATTAAGAAGTTGTATTTGGTGAATTTCCAGGTGATGAAGCAAAACAGTTAAACAGGGTGTTATCATAATTCTTTCCAGATTCAAAGATCTCATCTTCTCCTTTAAATGTGACTGACCAAAGACTTCTTGATGCCAGTTCTCAGTTTCAGAAAAAACAAGGCAAAAGCAATATTGATGTCTGGTGGCTCTTTGATGATGGAGGTAATGTACTTTATAGTTTAAAAAACTTGATAAAAAAATTATTGAAGTAATTTTGCATTAATTGTCAACAGACACCATTCAGTAAGTTCATATAAAATCTGTACTGTTTAACAAGATGCTGTTTTCTCAATCAATCTCAAATTCTGATCTAAACACAGGTTTGACACTGTTGATTCCGTATCTTATCACAACCAAGAAGAAGTGGAAAGACTGTAAGATCAGAGTGTTCATTGGTGGGAAAATAAACAGGATTGATCATGACAGAAGAGCGTAAGTTTCCCTTAAAAAATCTGGTTCAAGTGCTGAAAGAGCATGTTACTCATTGGATTACTCTCTCTTCCTAGTAGCCTTATTTCAGTTGTGCTTTTGTTGAGGTGTAATCATATTCTGTTCCCTTGATCCAGAAAAGCTCTCATTTCCCCTGAGTGGTTTTGGGTGAGATACCTCAAACTACGTTATCTGCAGTATTGTCTGATGCTAACATTTTCTTTTCCAAATATTTTCTGAGTTTGTCATTAAGGGAGAGCCCTTCTCTTATTTAAAACCATAAAACTGTTTTCATTTTTTTCCAGAAGCATGGTGTTGATTTATAGTCATAAGTCAGTTCTGTTTGATTTTCCCCCACCATTACAATTAAGATGCCTTTTTTTTGATTTCATTTCTTAAACCAGTGTTTTTATTACCTGTTTACCCTGTGAAAAAATTACAAATATGATCATATATAAAGGCTTGTTTTTCTGATGCAGGATGGCTACTTTGCTGAGCAAGTTTCGGATAGACTTTTCAGATATTATGGTTCTTGGGGATATTAATACTAAACCAAAGAAAGAAAAGTAAGTCTCAAAAAACCACATCATGTTTGTTATTTGAATTTTTGATGTGTTTCATTAATTTAGAACACGTAATTCTTTTCTACATAGCATTTATGGCACAACTGGTTCCTGTGATATTCATTGTTTGACAGAAATGGAGGAAATGAATTAAGCAATAGCTGCTAAATCCGAGAGTATTGAAATCTGGATTTTTTAGATCTCTAGCCATTTGACTGTAATACTAAATTGAGAGAAATACAGTTGAGGAATAAAATCCAAGTTGACTGGAGCAATCTTTTTTATAAAGGGAAATGCGTACAAAAACTGGCATGATCTGAATCTTATTTGCAGTCTTAGTTTAATGCAACAAAGCTCGGTCTCGAAATAGACCCATCTGGGTTTTTTTATTTGGGTTTTGGTTTTTTGGGGTTTGGTTTGGGGGTGTTTTTTGTTGGTTTTTCTTTTTTTAAGTTGCTTGGACTTTTAATTTACACAGGAATGGTCATACATGTGATACTCCTCCATTTTAAGTGCAAAAAATATTAGTTGTAGGTGACTTTCTAAAAATTTGTAACAGAATGTGTACAATCTAAAAAACTACCCCCCTTCCCTTTCAAGTCTTCTTGAATGTGCTGAAGTTGTAAAAATGTCTTTTACTTGGACATGAGCTTACCTGAAAGACATGCCATGCAAATTGGAAAAGTCAGGCAGATGCTAAATACTAATACATGTTCTTTTATTCCCTGCTCTTTAATCACCTTTTCTTCAGTATATAGTATCAAGCAACTGAAACATTATAGTACTTATGGCACTCTGGTGTCTTTGCTTCCAGGATTCTGCCACTGTGAAAGGTGAAACATTGAATTAGCACCCATTTGTGGATCAGAGTTGAGGTTGTAGAATTACATGGAAATAGTTCCGTTTTATAGAAGTGATCTGAGTTATTTCTTCTGAGGGCATTTTTTTCTTTTCTGGGTGGATACATACCCCACAATATTTCCAAAACCTTTCTAAGATACCATTTGGCACTAATAGAAGCTGAAAACCAAATGCAGGAAGATTTATTTTTAACAGTTACTGTGATGTATAATGTAAAATTGTTAGTAGTTCTCCTTTTTGCCCAACCAAAAAGTAGATCAAATTTGTTTTCTTCCTTTTGATTAAGGTGAAGTCATTGTGTCAACTACAGTAAAGACTACCAAGTGTAGATAAAAAATTGTTTTAGTAGTAATGTGGGCATTTCCTGGAGGAAATGTGGGTAGAAAAGTAGGGTAATATTCTTTCTAGTAGAAGTTAATGCATCTTTCATCTTCAGAAGGCTTTCTAGTAAATTCAAAGTGTTCTTACTCTTAACAGGTGCAACAGGAAGACTAAATAAGATGTCTGGTTTTTTGCATTTGAATGTGGTTCTTGAACTGTATAGGAAGGACTAAAAAGAAGAAAAATAAAAATACCAAAGCCAAAATCCTGATGGCAATAGCACGAGACTTGATAACTGGGTTTTTTTGAGTGTGACATGTAAATTCTTCGTCTTTCAAATTTCATTTGGAAGAAGCTGCTGTTAGTTACTGTCCTTTTTCCAAGGGTAGTACTCTTCAGCTTTCAAAATCATTGTGAAACTCAAGGAAAAGTTGAGGTGGGGGTTGTTTGTTTTTTGAACTGGGTTGAACTTTAGTTGGATAATGAACAGTGAAAGCTCCTACAGCTGCCACAGATTGTTTGCTGAATTACAGTGTCTGTGTCTGTGTGCAAGCAGCTGATCTGATGTTCTAACTGCACCAAGTAGGGCAAAAACCTTCAGTTCACTTTATTTTTACATAGTAATATTAGTTTCTGACACCATGAGAGTCTTTTCTGATATATAGACTCACACCAGTTTTAATATGTCTGCTCACTTTATCCTTCCAGCATTGCAGCTTTTGAGGAAATGATAGAGCCATTCCGACTTCATGAGGATGATAAAGAGCAAGAAGTTGCAGATAAAATGAAAGAGGATGAACCATGGAGGATAACAGATAATGAACTTGAGCTTTACAAAACAAAGGTACTGTTTTCTTTAGACTGTGATCTTAGTTACCCCTTTTTTTTCTACTGCATTTGTGGAAGTGATGGTGGTGAGTTCAGTCTTGTTATTCTCTCTTGTAGCTGGTTTTATGCGTGGCTGATGAAAGCAGCATCTAAAACCGTTTAGATGGTTCACAAAAGAAAAAAGGAAGCTTTGCACTTGAATATGTGCAGAGACCAAACTTTTCCTACAGAATTTCAGCAATTAGTTTGTGTTCAGGTGTTTGCCCCTCCTTTTTTTTTTCTCCTTTTGACCAAACTAACATTTTTTGCTTGACTATTTTTGAAAAACCCCACTAGAAACTAAAACCAAGCAACACAGTACATCTTAACTGTGATGTAAAGGAGCAGTTAAAGGTTTGATATCTTTTCCAAGCTGTTGTGCACTACAGAGATATCAGAAGTGCTTCTTCTCAAGTGCTTTTATGGGAGAGAACAAAAAGTGTCATCTGTGACAGGATGTGGATACAGACATGTACCTAAAGAAAGATCGGGTAAAGTTGCATTGATCTGAAGATCTTCAAGATGGTCCTGAGTTTAATCCAGCCTTATCTTTTTCCTGTTTGGATTTTTACAACTTTTGTGAGGATATGTGTCGGGGGATGTGGAGCTAGAGGATCTTTTCAAGGTTGCTTCCAACCCAGACTATTCTACGATCCTGTGATAAGGGACTTTCATTTCCAGGAGCTATGGAGGATGGTGCTATTGTAAGAGGAACTATCTTAAATTTATCTGTTATAGCACTTGACTTATTTGCACACTTTACTGCTTTCTTTTCTCCAGCCTTGCAACCGTTTGTTTTTTGGTTTTTTTTGAAAAGGGAAAAGTTGCCACACTGTGGTGAAAATACATGCTTTTTATAAATTACTCTTACCAATTGATCATACCTGTTTTTCATTTTTCTTGAATAAATGAAGTTTTTAAATTAAAGATCTTCCTAACAAGTTTCATTTTATTTACAGACTTACCGACAGATTAGGCTAAATGAGTTGCTGAAAGAACATTCAAGTACAGCTAACATAATTGTCATGTAAGTAAATAACTTGGATTTGTTTTGGTATGAAACTGTAATTTGAAATACACAAAGATGTAAATACAAATCAGGAACTAACTTGTAGAAATACTCAAAAGCTGACTCTATTTATTAGAAGCATGGAACTACTATAACTAATGAAAAATGTCCTGTGGAATTCTGTGCTTTTGATACACTGTTTTAATTGATCACCTCCACATTTGCAGTGCAACTCAGGATTCACACATTCTTTCTCCTCCTGCATGCCACCTGTTCCTTTTTTTTTTTTTTCCAAGTCCTTTCTTTCAGTCTCTTTTTCTAGGAGATCTCTCTTGATGAAGTTGGATAACTATCCTGGTCACAGATTTTCATGGAATTGCTTTTGGTGTAAACAAACAGAATGTGGATTGTAGGTTTCTTAATGCTCTATTTGAAAATCTTGAAAGAGTCTTTCAAGAGACTCTTCAGATTCATCATGAATCTACCTGAATAGAAAGTGGTGGTAACAGGCCAAAAGCAAGGGGTAAATAGGTATAAAAGCCTGTGATGCTTGAGATGCAAAATCTCAACTCGTTAACTGAATTCTGAAGGAAAAATAACAAAATAAAAAGGTGAAGAAATTTGACCTAATTTGACTTCTTTGCAGAATCACAGTTTCGTATGTATTATGCTCTGACTTGTACTTCACCATGTTTTTCTGACTGTTGAATGTTTTTTGCCTTGTGAATTGCAGGAGTTTGCCGGTTGCACGAAAAGGTGCAGTTTCTAGTGCACTGTACATGGCCTGGTTAGAAGCCCTTTCTAAAGATCTGCCACCAATTCTCCTTGTTCGTGGGAATCATCAGAGTGTTCTGACCTTCTATTCCTAAGAGTACTGCACATGGCTCAGCTGTGATGAAATGGTACTTCCGTGACCAGGGGAGAGTGACTGACGTGGTCTATAGTTCATTAACATCACAAAGGCAAAAAGTGACTCTTCTTTCACTATTTCACTGACTTGAAAGCACACAGGGGGAAAGTCACTGTATTTCTAAAATTGTGACATCTTCAGTTTTATTCTATATTTTCTGTAATTTGATCTTGCTTAATCGGGGAGGATTCCTTGTTAGACTGAAGAACAAGACAAGCTTTTTTGTTTGCTATTTGAATAGCAGCAATAAAATGTTGTATTTTTGATCAATGAAAGGATTATAGATTTATAAAAGCCTTTTAGCCTTGAGGTGCCTTCTGAAATTAACCAAATCTCACCCATACATCCTATTTTGTAAATTTATATAGAATGTCAAAATCTGCCTTCAACTAAGAGTTTAGATCAGACTTCCTTTAGTTTCTAGTCTCTTCCATATTACAATAAAAATGAATGCTGCTTTTCAGTCTTCCATTGAGCTATTAGTTCTTAGTACTGTATGTTTTCTATCGTCAGACAGTTTTGGGGTTTTTTTATTATTATATCTGTTAGATTTAAAGGTGAGAATTGGGGCAGGTCAGTTGAGCTAAAGCAAATCCCTGATGTTATTGTCAAGGTTCATTCTACTAATGAAAATAAAACTAATGTTACTTGCGGAGTGCATCCTTTTCTCAAATTTGACAATTGTGTAATACTTGGGCACTAGTCTGAGACAGAAAACTAACATTAGCTTCTTTGGCCGAGGATACTGGTCAGTCTTAGCTCTACTATTAAACGAGATTCATCTTGCTGGGTGAGGCTTTTTATCTTAACCACAAATTAGAAGAAAATGAAAAGACCTGTCCTAATTCTTGTCCTGTTACATTTTAGTGTCACTTTCAACTTATTTTTGAAACAAAACTCAACTTAAGGCTTGAATGGGGATAATATAAGCAATGTGATGCTATCTAACAGAAAACAGTAAACACTATGTGGAATTGTGCTATCCAATATGAAATGTAAAAGCTGCAGTTCTCTTGCATTTTTCAACAAATGGTTAAAAGGACCACTAGTTATTAGGGGAGATGTTTTTAGGTCAATTCGTTCAGTTGTCAGAAAATACATTTAGTCTTATTAAATAATACTCAGGTTTGATTGTCTAGCAGTTTTGATCTATTCCATACATTTTACTTTATACATTTTCTATGTTCACTAAAAAAACTGCCAGTCTTGTGTGCCCTTTCATTGTATATTTTGAAAACTTCATAATTTAATCTACTATGAACACCTGCAAAAGGAATTTCACTCGAACCTTTATATAAAGGTTAGTAATGTGAACTGTTTTTTAAATTCCTAATAAGTTTTGGATAGGAAGGATTGCCTAAAAACATTTCACAAGCTTTTGATATTATTATTGGACATGCTACTGGATCAGTTTATCAGTGGGTGAGTGACTTTCATTTAAGGATGCACAGAAAAGGTGTTTTGTGGTTTGATTTCTGGGGGGGTTTTTTGTTTGTTTTTTGCTAAATGCAGGATCAAATTAAAATGTAACTGTTCCTTCTGAAGGACAAAGCATAATCATTGTGTGGCAAGGTAGAGCTTCAACTTTTGATTAAAGATTAAAAATATTCTACACTGTGCAGTATACATTGTTGTCAAGTTCTTGGTAAACTGCAAAAAGTCTTTTGGGTTTTTTTTTTTGTTTGTTTTGTTTGGTTGGTTTGTTGGTTTGGTTTTTTTTTGTTTTGTTTTGTTTTTTTTTTGCTATTTCTATCATTTGGATTTGAGACTATTGAATCATTTCACTTTGAAAAACTTAAGAAAAACAAACATGCATGTCTTGCTGCTAAGTGTGAGATAACTGATGCCAGCATGAACCCAGCTTGTTATGATAAACATTGTAAGACAAAGACAGCTTGCAGTAAAAATGGTGTTTCCTTCCCGGTGAGGGGGTTTGGATCAAACATACCAACATATCTATCACAGATTTTACAGTGTTTTTTTAGGGGATGAGGTTGTCACATTGTGCATATGGAATCATTACCACCTTTCTTGTTGTTTTGTGGGTAACATTCTTTTGAGCAGAGGGACAGTATGGCATGGACTTAGTGCTGCTATCTTGAAAAAAAAAAAAAAAAAAACAGATGTGCACAGGTACACTTATTTAAGACGTTTATTTGCCCATTCAGGAAACCATTGCTTGTGATCTGTAACACAACACAGAAACCAAATGAAGTGTGTGTGTACATGCATATATGTGTATAAAATTATATAAAATATATAAGTATGCATATGGGGATAGTTAAGGTAATGTCTGTGAAATAAGATAGGATGCTTTTCACATGCACTCTCAGGAGTTCACACTAATGCTGGGCAGGAGGCCAAGTTTCAATATCATTTGCTCACTAAAATTTGAACAGTTAGTGGTAATTGTCTACAACAGATGTCAGTTAGTGGCAGTCACTCCAACTTCTGCTTTGATTTTGACGCCAAATTTACTTATGTTTCAATCATCATTAATTACGTGGAAAATGAAATCGCTTACACATGGCAATTCATACCTTCTGTAGATTAGGTTCCTTTGTATGGGTTTAGAAAGTAATAGCTGGCAAAAATCAATTATTTATTTGTTCACTTGTATTTAGGTTTCCTTTTACATACATTCTTTTTATATGCTTTTTCTGACATTGCATATTTAAAAATAACTGAAAATAACTTAAAAGATTTGAGCGTTCAGTGGGTCGTGGCCCACTTGGTTTGAAGATGTAAGATTTGACACTGTACTGTAACTGTCACACACAAATGCTTTTCTAATGTTTTAACGTAATTATTGCAGTTAAAACTTTGTACCAGGGGGATGTCACTGCAATAAAAGGAAGTGAATTCAATACAACTGTCTTGTCTAACAAAGCCTCTTTTTTTCGGTGGTGGGAAAGGAGTGAAGTCCATAGTTCAACAGATTAATGCTGAATATAGTTTCTGATGTGTGAATGTACTTACTGCATGCATTCAGTAATTACTTTTGTAGTGGAATTTGGATAGGACCAGTAGAACTTTAAGCAGTTCATGTATCTGGTATAAGAACACAAGTGTGTTTTTTCTGGGGGGGAATGTTTGCCTCTGCTGGGTTAGGAACAGCAGTGGTTGCACAACAAATAAACCTCGTTTTACCCTCTAAAATTTGTCATAATTTGCCAGACAACACAGATCCATCTTCAGTACATGGTGTATTGAGGCTGGAACATTGTTATGTGAAAACTTGTTTCCAGTTTGTTTTGACTCTGAATACACTAAAGGGCTGTTTTAACTCCTCTTTCTATCTTAAAATAGTTCCTTCATGGGACATGAGAGAATATGTTGGGAAAAATAACTGGTAAGTCTTTTGCATAGTTGCTTGTAAACAACACGTTTGGCCTTTGGCCTTTACTAATATACATTCAACTAAAAACTAGCTGAAAAACCAAAGTTTAAGAGCATAATGGTAAGGAAGGGCAAGGTCTTTTCTCATGTTAAAATCATAGTTAGAACCACTGAAGAATTTTTTAGCCTCATCAGTTTTGGTGTTTGATCTCTATTAAATTCAGACCTCTACTGTGTATCCATTGTTAGTCCTGTTTAAATTGAGGCCTTAAGAGTGAGGCCTTCAGAGGCCACTGCAAAGGAAAGCTTGTTAAAAGTACACTTAATCGGTTTCTATGGCATTGACTGTAACCTGTTTTAATCAGTAAAGAGGCATAGGAGAGGGTATGTATCAGTTTTTTCTAGATCCTTGTATGCTGGAGAAGTGTTTGATTTAAGTAATGACACTGCTATTTGCTGAATTCATAGATAAGTGACTTCAAAGCAAAAACATAATTGGACCAAGGTTGATCTCATCGCTTAAATGCAGAAAATGAACGTTCATACAGCACAGTAACCTGCTTTGGTTTATTTTCAAACAGTGAAGCAGGCCTTCACTGTGGTGCATGTTCTTCACTAGTCTAGTTACATTTCTCATGCAACTTCTGTGTGATCTTGTAAATACTAAAATCTGGTTTGTGTCCAGCTGGAGTGGAAGACCATGGAGGCAATGAATGGTGGTACAGTGCATCATCAAATCCTTGCTCTTCTGCCTTTTGACAGCATGGTGTGCACAGGTTTCCAGAGTCAGGACTGCTGATGAGGCTGATGAAGGCCACATTTAGGAAAGAGATGGAAGCTGGTGGAAAGTTTTGAGAGTTAATGTGGAAGGAGTAAATGCAGAAGCAGTATCAAGCACCTTCTCCAAACAGAAGCAGGGAAGACGTTTCTCTGGAAACATAAGTTGCCTCCTGCATCCAGGGATCCATTTCATGCCGACAACTGAGGTGGGTTTGCTGCCATGCACCACCAGAGGCTACTTTTGTGACCAGGTGCAAGTAAAGACCTTTCTGACTTATACCCCCATTTTGACTGAACTGAGAGGCAGGAAAAGGAACCTGAGAACAGTTTCTTTGTCACCTTTGATCTGCCCACTCTCTCTTCCAGAAAACACTAGCTTTGTAGCCCCAGGAGCCTTCAGCCTGTCCTCTGCCAGCCTTGCCTCTTCCCTGCCTGCACCTCACGGTGTAATGGGGGGAGTGGAAAGGGGATCATTCAGGGTTTAAACTGTCATGGAATGCTGAATTAAACTTTTTAATCATCCTCCTCCAAACCACTCTGTGTTGTGCTCTTTGCAGCCCCCTTGCTCCTGTTTGTAGGAATCCAATGGCAGTAGCATCTGGATGTGAGAGAAGTGCCTCACATTCCTGCTCCCACACCAGGGGGACCTGGGGAAAATGACCCTGGTGAGGTGTAGTCAAATTCTAGGGTGAGGTTCTAGGTGCCTCATCTTTATAGTCCCTCAGTCCCCTCCACAGCAATAATAACAAAATTCTGCTAATAGAACATTGTATTTAGTAAAGGAAATACTATCCCATTAGTTTTCTAGGAGTTCAAACTAAAAGAGTATCACCAGATGGCACTACCGTCTTTCAGCATTTCAGGTAATGCCTGAAAATGCCCTGTTGAATACACTCTCCTGGCACTGTTTTTTGGTTTCATGGACTACCTGACTTCACAATTTGACTAAACAACAGATATCAGCATGATAATATTTTTTCCATTAATTTTTCATAATTTTGACTGTGGGTTGGAGAAAAATTTAGTATTGATTCTGCCTCCCCTGGTGGGAAAAATACTCTAGTTGTTCCACAGTGATGCAGGAATCTCCAAGCAGGTGCTACCTGTTGAGATCAAACAGCCTTTTTACCACTGAGTAACCACCTTTTCATAACACACTGTGTGAAGGTCTTCTCAGTGGCTATTTCCAGCTATGTGAACCTTAGCAGAAGGAGAAATGCTGCAGGCGGAGAAAGAAGCGAGACTAGAAAACAAAACAGATTGGCACATCCCATCTAATTTCAGAGTGATCCATAACCTTCCAACAAGATATTTTTTCAGCAGGAAACTGAATAATGTAGCACTAGGCATTTTCAAATTTATTAAGCTTGAAAATAAGTTATCGCTCTGCTGAAGTGTATTACAACTACTAGATCTTGGAAAATCTCTCTGCAATTAGATTAATCTCTGCAAAACAGATGGCAAAATGGAGTCACAAGCAAAGGATTTCCACAGGCTCTGGCTGAAAATTAAGAGAGCTGGGATTAGCCTTGAAATATCCACACTCCCAGCCCTGTGAAGTTAGTAATTTTTTCAGATCAAGCTGCCTGTCTATGTGGTTTAACCACAGTGTTGCAAATTATAGGGACTCTTGAATATTGTACTACTGTGACTGATTACATAGATTAACGTTTAGAATAGTAGTAAAGATAAAAAGGATATGTAAAGCAGGGGCTGGGATACATGTACAAAAGAATATGCCAGATAATCCAATGTGTTTTATAAACATTGGGGTCGATTTGATGTGACTCATCTCTAATGAGCAGTGGGGGTAAATAAAAATGGAATCAAAACAGAGGTAACGTGCAAAAATATAAGCACAAAAATTAAGCACTTGCTGCTTGTAGTTAAACACAAGTAAGGCAGAAATCATGGCAGGTCAAAGCACAATGGCTGCCAAGGGGAGCAAATGGCTACAGAGTCAACCAAGGACAGCCTTTTATGGCATTAACACATTAAATTAAGGCTACCAACAGAATACTGTGGGCTTCCCTGAGGGATTTTGGCTAACCTCAGACAGACTTCATCTTTACAGAGCATTGTTAATTTAAAGAGTCTTTGTTCCCATTTAAATATCTCTGTATTCTTCAACTAGTAGGAGTAGTGTTTCAGGCATGGTAGGATTTATTGGGAAAGCTCAGTATGCCAAACATTACTGAGCATTCTTTTATCCATGATATTTTTATATTAATTATATTGTGGGGTTTGGGAGTTGCTGGTTTCATGTTCTTGCCATGTGTTTAAGTACTTGGAAAAACAAGGCTTAATTCCCAGCTGAGTCTTGGAAACTGCAAAGAATTCCAACAGGTAAAAAAAAAAAAAAATTATTCCTTGCCAACTCTGGGAACTGAGCATCCCCTAGCCATAAAGCAGATCTGACCTTTTCCATCCTGTACTATTGGCCAACCATGAAACCCTTCAGTCATTGTAGGAAACTCATTCTGTCCCAGACAAAAAAAACCCAAAACATTATGAATTTATGGTTTGGAGACTGTCTTTGCAAATGTACCCGTGTACCATTACTCCAAATGCATCACTGTCAAGAAATTATCACTTTCCCAGGATTAGGCAAGCTTAAAAACCATCTTCTCCTACTGTAGCTTTGACTATATGTAGTCAGTCGTTAAATAAAGGACAATAGATTCTGAATTTGTAGTTCTGACCATGTTCTGATAGTAATTAACCATATTCTGTGACAGCTTTTATGCCAGGAAATGACTTAGTGACAAATTTAGAATTCAGATCAAATCCTGTTTTCTAGGTTTTGTTGTGAATACTAGTAATATTTTCTCTTCCCTTTAACTGGAAACACTTTAAAACTAATCCTTTGTAATTACTTTAAAAATAACCTTCAGAATTAAAATTACTCTTTGTAGTCTACTTTAAAACGTTAATTATCCCTGTGTTGTGTGGATAATTAATTGTTACTGATAAAGAAAAGTCAAATACATAAACCAGCTTTTTCCTTCGGTCCTTAAGCCTAATACCTCCCAAATCTAAGCAAGAGCAGGAAAAAATATCCTGTACATTCATGCCTTCACTACAACGTAAGTACAGAGATTTGAAATTGCCCTGTGGAACATGGAGCTTGAAGAACTGACAAGGTTCCACCTAAGGCTTAAGATTTTCTTGATGGCAGCGGTAAAACTGGGGCTGGTCAGGTCACACATTTTTTAAGTTTGTATTGCTTGTCTTCCAGTTTGGTTTTTTTTCTTTGTTTGTTTTCATGACGCACCATTTCGTTACGGAATACTTAATGTTACTTGCATCATTGAAAACTTTTGATTTTGACAGCTTGCGTGGACCATAGTCTGGATTCTGCTTCATCTGGCTTTTTAAACAAATCTATGGTTTTGTCTTTATCACTTTAGAATAATTTGTTCTTTGTTGCTCTCATAAGCAGCTTGTTTGAGGTAGACTGCATTCTACACCTGAATGCTATATAGCTCTTCATTATGTTGCTTCAGCAGCACCTGACCGAGTCTCTGTATTTATGAGGACTGGTGATAGGTGTTCTGCTTTTAGAGACGAGACTTCTAAATGTTATGGAGAAAAATATGGGAGAATTTGTGACACTAGGAAATTGAGAGGCAATTAAAAAAAATTAATAGCTGAAAGTGAAAAATTAAGAAAATAAGAGTGATTATAAGGTAGCAACACTAAACAAAAGCAAAACTAAGAAGCTTTCATAACAAGGGACAAGGATATTTCACA